GAAGATGTAGAAACTAGGCTTTGATACAGGCTAGTGGACATGCTTGCCTCGGGAAGATGTAGAAACTAGGCTTTGATACAGGCTAGTGGACATGCTTGCCTCGGGAAGATGTAGAAACTAGGCTTTGATACAGGCTAGTGGACACGCTTGCCTCGGGAAGATGTAGAAACTAGGCTTTGATACAGGCTAGTGGACATGCTTGCCTCGGGAAGATGTAGAAACTAGGCTTTGATACAGGCTAGTGGACATGCTTGCCTCGGGAAGATGTAGAAACTAGGCTTTGATACAGGCTAGTGGACATGCTTGCCTCGGGAAGATGTATAAACTAGCCTTTGATATAGGCTAGTGGACATGCTTGCCTCAGGAAGATGTAGAAACTAGGCTTTGATACAGGCTAGTGGACATGCTTGCCTCGGGAAGATGTAGAAACTAGGCTTTGATACAGGCTAGTGGACACGCTTGCCTCGGGAAGATGTAGAAACTAGGCTTTGATACAGGCTAGTGGACATGCTTGCCTCGGGAAGATGTAGAAACTAGGCTTTGATACAGGCTAGTGGACATGCTTGCCTCGGGAAGATGTAGAAACTAGGCTTTGATACAGGCTAGTGGACATGCTTGCCTCGGGAAGATGTAGAAACTAGGCTTTGATACAGGCTAGTGGACATGCTTGCCTCGGGAAGATGTAGAAACTAGGCTTTGATACAGGCTAGTGGACACGCTTGCCTCGGGAAGATGTAGAAACTAGGCTTTGATACAGGCTAGTGGACACGCTTGCCTCGGGAAGATGTAGAAACTAGGCTTTGATACAGGCTAGTGGACATGCTTGCCTCGGGAAGATGTAGAAACTAGGCTTTGATACAGGCTAGTGGACACGCTTGCCTCGGGAAGATGAGGTACATCAAGCACACATTACTTTTAATATAAATCAATCTTTTTAATAACTGATACACATAGGTGCGGTGAGGTTAAATGGGGTTTATCTGCAGAGTGCTTGGGACTGCTTGTCTCGTCCGGACATAAGTGCTATATATATAGTTCCATGGAGCTAACCCGCTGAGATATAATGCCGCAATTAAACACTCAAAGACAGTACAGTGACTCCCAGACGACCAGAATCATCTTTGACCATTTTAAGGTATGATGGGATCAGGGAATTGAACCTCCGACCTTTCGTTCCCGGGGCAGACTCTCTATCCAGTACACCACCGAGTTTCATCCTTACATCAACTGATCAAGAGAATCCTTTTGCAAATACAAGATCAATATTCTTTGAACTCAACATCCTGTTATCCACATAATCTACAAATTCACTAATTATGTGAGGGACATATGCCAAGCCAAATGATAAGATAACCAGACATTAAACAATCATGTTGCCGCCACACTATTGTTGTTGCAATTGATTCTGAGCCAGCAAATCACAGGCCTCTGAACATACATTTCCTGCAAGGAAAACTGATGCAACTGTTGGTCATCATTAAATTATAGAGAAATTACATATACTACTCAAAAGAGTTTAAGGAGCACCTGATTCTTTCAGATTACTAAAGTTAATCTGTCATGGCATGACATTAACTTTTGGAATATTAACCATAAAATGATTTAAGTTAGAGAATTTTGTCGTTAGAGGCGACTAACGGGATCGGGTGGTGAGGATTGCTGACTTGGTTGATGCATGTAATCGTATCCCAACTGCAAATATCGATGCTCATGATGTCAATCACTGGATTGTCTGTTCTACATACAATTATTTACAGACCGCTCTCATATAGCTGGAATATTGCTTAGTGCAGCATTAAACAACAAACAAACAAACAAACAAACAAACCGGAATCAACAGATTCTCATGATTTCTCCATTACTGAAGTTTCAATGTTTTTCATTATCAAAATAAGTTGACTGAAGGATGTGATCACCCTTTATAAAAGCTCCTAAAATCAGCAGCCTGCAAACGCCTACTGGGGCAATCATCTCCACAATGAGATTATGCAAATATTATCTCATGCGATGAACACATTGTCACACAATCCGCCCAGGAGGGATAGCAACACACACTCAGAATTGCCAAAAAAGATTAAAACAATACCCAAGTCTAACACAAGCCCTGAGGGTACAAAGAATGTTTTTCAAACCACTCAGGCTGTGTCAGTTTCAAGTCATCAGCAGAATGATCTTGACACCATGCTGTGTGTAGTAATCGTTGTTGCATAGGAACATCTGAAAACAGGCCAGTCATAACAGTCTATCTGCTCTAGTAAGTGAAAGAAACCCAAACAAGTCATTGTTTGTGTTGTACATATCCCACATTTTAGAAGGCCCATAGATGAAATAAGACCTTGTGATAAGAAACTCAACAATACTGTCATTTATGAAGGAAGTGTATCTGCAGAGCCAGTGAAATAGACAGGGCTTATCATCTGTTGCCATGCAGGGATGGCCTGATTTGTACTTCCCTTATCTCTGATCTGTGACATTCATCCAATGTGATGTGAAAGGACAAGAGCAGTGTTGTGTTACACTTGGATCTTTTAGCAAATAGTTATCCTCATCTTTTTTATGCCCTAGAGAACTGACTTATTTTGAAGAAAGAGATGACATGAAGTAAACACTACTGATGAAAAAATGATTTTTCTGAAATCCTGAAATAAGGGATGATTCTGAAGTAGAAGTTGAGATGTTGCTTTAGTATTGTCATTGTTATCACACATCATCATCATCATCATCATCATCATCATCACAGCACGTCATCATTGATTTTCTTTTTTAAATCCTGAAATGAGCTTCACACAATGTACCCATGTGGGGAATCGAACCTGGGTCTTCAGCATGGCGAGCAAAGGCTACCCCACCGCCCCGATTAAACTTGAAATTTCTCCCAGTATCCATCATTCCTACAAAGTTTAACCTTCTGAGAGGATCTTTGGATACATCATTTCAAAGTCTCAGTTCAATCAGTTCAAGAAAAAGAGTTGTTGATTTTGGCTCATAATCATTATGACTTAGGATCAAGGCACACCAAACTGTGGGGCCTCACACAACTGGCGACACATAGCCCTAATCATGCCATGAATAAACCTGAAATGTCCAATATTCATTTTCTTCTTGCCTTTGTGCACATTGAGAGAATGGTTTTATTTAAATTGAAATTCATAAAAACAAAAAATAAATTAGTTTTCCTGGTCACCAGGAAGGGGGACATGAAGTGTAAACAGCCTAGATTGCTTTTCATCTGCTTGGTGAACCAGTGGCTTGAATATCAGTGTGTTTTTACTTGATAGCGCAGAAGCCACGTTAGACTCGTAAACTTACATCAATAGAGGAGGGAAACCTTGGCATGCAAAGGGAATGTGAGCTTATTGAATGTCTATCGCATTATTTTCTTACCTGATCACAAAAGATTTTAGATTTTAACCTATTCAATTAAGTTATGAGGCAATACCGTTTAGTAATCATGTCCCTGACTGGCGAAATTTGCCTGGTGATTATTTACCATATAATGGAAAGAGTTATTGATGCCATCAACCTATCCAATATACCTTGATCCAATAAATATGCAAATGAGTTAAAATTACCAAGCAAAACTATTCTCAATAAGCTCTATACATCAGTGCAATGTCTACTTCCTCAGATAGGTGTTTCTGTGATTCTGTAAACAAACAAGGCTACAATTTATTTGGCACTATTTGATCATACGGCAGCTCAGTGATGCACTGAGTTTCCAAAGTTACTCCATCTTAAACATTGTTGATATTTAGAAAGACATTATACAATCTCATTAAAATCAGATCTTAGTTCTCGCTACCGCAAAACAAAGATCTGAGGACGTCCCATTAGGGGTCACGTCAGAACGACCTTTCGTCCGACCAATCAGAGCTTCGCTTAACAGATCATGAAAGTGACAGTCGGAATGTGATTTCTAATTATGCAACGTCGAAAACTCTAACACAGGGTATTCTGAACGATTATTACGGGCTAAACAACTGAATCCATACAATCTAGACCATCTATAAGCCATTCCAGAATGTTCTTTTGTTCAGGTTTCAAATTTTTAATAGAGAATTTGTCAAAATGTTTCGAAGTGTAGTCGCCAATTTGAAATTAGTTCCGTAAAGCACGAGAAAGCTGCCTTCTGACTGGCTAATGTTGACTTCTTGTCAGTCATTCCATTGGTTGGTCAAAGTTCGCGAAAGGTCGGTCTGACGTGACCCGTAATAGGATGTCCTCAGATCTTTGTTTAGCGATAGCGAGAACTAAGATCTGATTTTAATGAGATTGGACAATATATGACTATGAGATTCTTACCTTCATGTGTTTCCGTATTGTATACATTGCCAAAGGCTCTCATGTGTTTCCGAATTGTATACATGCCAAAGGTTCTCATGTGTTTCCGTATTGTATACATTGCCAAAGGCTCTCATGTGTTTCCATATTGTATACATTGCCAAAGGTTCTCAAGTGTTTCCGTATTGTATACATTGCCAAAGGTTCTCATGTGTTTCCGTTTTGTATACATTGCCAAAGGTCTCATGTGTTTCCGTATTGTATACATTGCCAAAGGTTCTCAAGTGTTTCCGTATTGTATACATTGCCAAAGGTTCTAATGTGTTTCCGTATTGTATACATTGCCAAAGGCCCTCATGTGTTTCCGTATTGTATACATTCCCAAAGGTTCTCATGTGTTTCCGTATTGTATACATTGCCAAAGGCCCTCATGTGTTTCCGTATTGTATACATTCCCAAAGGCCCTCATGTGTTTCCGTATTGTATACATTGCCAAAGGTTTCATGTGTTTCCGTTTTGTATACATTGCCAAAGGCCCTCATGTGTTTCCGTTTTGTATACATTGCCAAAGGTTCTCATGTGTTTCCGTTTTGTATACATTGCCAAAGGTTCTCATGTGTTTCCGTATCGTATAAATTGCCAAAGGCTTTCATGCGTTTCCATTTTGTATACATTGCCAAAGGCTTTCATGCGTTTCCATTTTGTATACATTGCCAAAGGTTCACTTTGTGCAGTTTTTCTTCCTAAAATAAGACATTTATGATATGGAAACAATCGTATAGTAGTCGCTATTTCTAACATTCTTGGCCATGGTAAAACACCAGAAACACATTTCTTTGTTACATTGGCCTGTTCTTTGGTCAAAATCACCAGAATGACACACTGTACCATATGTCCATATCTTATTATCATTTGTGTTAAACCTAATTTGATTTACTGCATTTATTCTTTTCAGAATGCTCCAAAAAGAGGCACCTCACCATGGAACCATTGTCGATACACGATAGACCAAAATAACCGCTATCATCCCCATCTTGATCAACAACTGAAAACAATGATCAACATCTCCACGACCAATTGAAATAACAACCACAAATATCTCAATAGAAAATTGGGCAAAAAGCAACAATCAGTTTGTATGGAATCTGACCTGGATTGTATGAGAAAAGGTCAAGGCAATGTTACCAGTGACCTTTAACCAGTAGATGTCAAGGACACAGTTACCAGTGCAACTTACAGCAATGTGGACAAGCACAGTGGCAATGGAAGTGTTAAATGAAAGCATCTCTTTATTGCGACACCAGAACATGCCTAGTGATGACCCAGCCATAGCGAAGGACACTGTCCAGAAAGTAATCTTCATTTTTGCAATTCTCATTATCCCTATTTGCATATTTGGATGTATTGGAAACATCCTCAGTCTATTTGTTCTTATTCATCATCGTATGCGCAATACGACAAACTGCTGTCTTGCTGCACTCGCTGTGTCTGACTTTCTGGTGCTGTTTCACAGCCTTTGGTATTCCACGATTATCATCTACAAGTCACGTGATCCTGTCAGTGCTGCTAATCTCCGTCGCTTGACATATCCAGTTATAGGAGCCTATGGGAGTGTGGTGACTGCCCGAATTACAACATGGCTAACAACACTCCTCAGCATAGAAAGATTTGTTGCCGTTTACTGCCCAATGAAAGCAAGAACTATCTGTGGCAAGAAGCACACGTACCTCGGCATCCTGATGATCTATTTCGTGACAATCATTGCCTTCCTGCCCCATGCTCTGAAATACCGACCAGAAACAGTCACCAATAACAACAGAACAATTGTCATCCTTCATAAGACGATTCTTGGAAAGAACCATCAATTCTGTGCAATTTATGGCACGATTCTCAACATCTTGTTCCGCTTTGTCCCCATTGCTCTGCTTATAATCCTGAACATTCTCATTGTCAAAGCCATACGGCAAACCTGGAATCTTCGTCGCATCATGAGCAAGGGAGGTAACCCTTGCAACATGTCTGAACAGAATCGCATCACAATAATGCTGCTTATTGTTTCCTTCGTCTTCCTAATTTGCATACTGCCCGGAGCTCTCAACAGCATCGCATCCCAAATTAAGCAAGACTACTCACGTCTTGGGTCCAACCGTAACCTCTTTGCTTGCATTTCATGTGTGACCTATTTCCTCGAAACTGTGAATTCGTCAATAAACTTTATCATCTACATGGCTTTCAGTGCCAAATTTTGCAGAACTTACCAAGAAATATTTTGTTGCATAAAGCCATCAGCTGTTCCTCGAAGCTCAACAAGGGAGATAATTCGCTTTGTTCGGCGTCCTCTTGTATCAACAGGTTCTTCGGGATCTAATGGTAGTCGTGAGTTCCGACTGTCTGCTATGCTGACCGATCAGCGCAGACACCAGTTCCGCAAGTCAAGATGTACAGCAATATCCAGCTTTGACATGGAGAATATTAAACTGTTGAGTCAGCGGGATAAAAACCTTTCCGCTGAAAGTGACATTGGGGTAGTTCAGTACAGCTGAAGAGTCTAGAGACTGGAATAGTTCAGCTGGAAAGCCTGGAGACTGGAGAGTGAAACAGCTTAGCATAACCACAGCCTGTACACAGAGTAGTTGAACAGTTTAGCTGAATAGACGGGAGTGTGATATATATTTCAGCAAATCTGACCAGATAAGAGAGTGCAATAGTTCAGTACAGCTGAACAGACTGGAGAGTGAAATAGTTCAGTACAGCTGAACAGTCTGGAGAGTGAAATAGTTCAGTACAGCTGAACAGACTGGAGAGTGAAATAGTTCAGTACAGCTGAACAGTCTGGAGAGTGAAATAGTTCAGTAAAGCTGAACAGACTGGAGAGTGAAATAGTTCAGTACAGCTGAACAGTCTGGAGAGTGAAATAGTTCAGTACAGCTGATCAGACTGGAGAATGAAATATTTCAGTACAGCTGAACAGACTGGAGAGTGAAATAGTTCAGTACACCTGAACAGACTGGAGAGTGAAATAGTTCAGTACAGCTGAACAGACTGGAGAGTGGAATAGTTCAGTACAGCTGAACAGACTGGAGAATGAAATATTTCAGTACAGCTGAACAGACTGGAGAGTGAAATAGTTCAGTACAGCTGAACAGACAGGAGAGTGGAATAGTTCAGTAGAGCTGATCAGACTGGAAAATGAAATATTTCAGTACAGCTGAACAGTCTGGAGAGTGAAATAGTTCAGTACAGCTGAACAGACTGGAGAGTGGAATAGTTCAATACAGCTGAACAGGCTGGAGAGTGGAATATTTCAGTACAGCTGAACAGACTGGAGAGTGGAATAGTTCAGTACAGCTGAACAGACAGGAGAGTGGAATAGTTCAGTAGAGCTGATCAGACTGGAAAATGAAATATTTCAGTACAGCTGAACAGTCTGGAGAGTGAAATAGTTCAGTACAGCTGAACAGACTGGAGAGTGGAATAGTTCAGTACAGCTGAACAGGCTGGAGAGTGGAATAGTTCAGTACAGCTGAACAGACTGGAGAGTGGAATAGTTCAGTACAGCTGAACAGACTGGAGAATGAAATATTTCAGTACAGCTGAACAGACTGGAGAATGAAATATTTCAGTACAGCTGAACAGACTGGAGAGTGGAATAGTTCAGTACAGCTGAACAGACTGGAGAATGAAATATTTCAGTACAGCTGAACAGACTGGAGAATGAAATATTTCAGTACAGCTGAACAGACTGGAGAATGAAATATTTCAGTACAGCTGAACAGAGGGGAGAGTGGAATAGTTCAGTACAGCTGAACAGACTGGAGAGTGGAATAGTTCAGTACAGCTGTAGAGTCTGGAGAGTGGACTTGTTCAGTATAGCTGAACAGACTGTAGTGGAATATCCAACTTCACACATTGTAAATGTTGTGTCTGACTGTGATCATGTTTTGCATCGTTTACAGAAACCAAAATACAGCTCCTGAATGTTAAAGGCAGAAGCCATTTCTGTCGTCTCAAATACACAATCTGCATGGTCTTCATAGAATACCATATTCGACGTAATAAGCCTCCACGGCGATACTTGCAAATGTATTGGCTTGTGAACAATCCCAATTAGCACCCCTTCGTTGATCACTGTACACCAGACTTATTTATTCGCGTATAATATGCACTCATGTGTTACATGCACCCTTAATTATGGGCAATTAAATTCTGGAAAAATATATCTGTCGTATATAAACTCACCAAAATATTATTCTAATAAGAGACTCCTATTTCTAATTTTGAGAGTGCCCTGGGCACTTATTACGTCGAATACGGTAACAAAATACATCTTGTATTGCCATTGAAAAAGAATTGTGCTGACTAGTATTTGAATGGTGCATGTGTATCAAATGTGTAGTATCCCATTTGAAGTTGCTTTTTCACTACAGTGAACATAACACTTGATATTTTACTGCTGTGAACATAACACTTTGACGGAACTATTGGCATTACAAGAGCTACCTCCCGCAAATTGTCTCCCTTTATCATAGGTGTCTAGGCCGTCAACGAACTGTTGACTTCCTTTTCACGTAAGTTCCACATTGACAAGGCAAAATAACGACAGATGGTCATTTATGGAGTTACTATAGCTTCTTGTCATTTGTTATTGTCTTGAAAGTGTTTTGATTAAACTGTAAATTTCTCATTTAACTTGTCTATCGAGACGGTTTGTTTCGCAAAGAGCCATTTTTGTTACATGACCAGCGTGTATTCTTTTGCTTCAAACAGGGGTCTCGTTTTGAATAGTATTACTTTTTTATGTAGATTTTGTATATAATCATACAGGTGTATCTATTCGTATGGTAAAGAATTTTGTGGCCCTAAATATTTTTTGTTACTTTTGTATATATATTTTAAGATTTTGCAAACATAAAACTACTTTTTAAGTCGCAAAACATATGTGGTGGTGACCGTCCCTGTGTGTTAGGTTGAGAGAATTTACATTTCAAGGTTTTACATTTGTAATGAAATAATTTAACTTTCCGGAAAAGACACAAAAGGTATATAATTAATAGGATATGTCATGTTTCTAAGAAATATCATGTTTCTCTCATCTCGTGACAGGGGAAAAGGAGATATTTTCACGAGTAGTGAGTGAGTGAATCAGTATTGAGGGAACAAAGGACATTTACATCAAAGGTACATGAGTTCAGTGAAAAGCATACCCATATGCATAGAAATTCTGATGCACTACGAGCTACATATATAATAATGTAATTTGTTTGTTGTTCATGCCGCTCTCAGCAATATTCCAGCTTTAAATAATCAAGTCTCGACCAGACAATCCTGTAATTAATAATTCCGTGTGCGACTTCAGGTACTCGTCTTGTAAAATCCTTTTATAGGTCCAGTAAGCCTCGAAGTCAATACAATAACATACAAATTGACTGAAAATAATGGTGAGAGCCAAATTGCGGCAAGCAACCTCAAAAGTTTTTGGCACAGTTTTTGATATTGTGAACAACGATCCTTGCAGTGGGTGTGTGAAGACATGCTATCAACCAAAACACGGAGCCTGACCACCCAATCCATTTGCTGACCTCTTACCACTGGCATAGGTAAGGGTTGGTACAGATTTGTCCTCAACAGATTCAAGGCCTTTGCAAGGCTTTTTCAAGGCACTTGTAGTCAAATTCAAAGAAAATATCATCCTGGATCACAAACACATTCATTTAGATATCATCACGTTAGATATCATCATGCAAACGAGGTAAGTAAAATCAGCTACGAAGTTTAAGTTTCTCGTTAACATGCAGCATTATTGAATATGTTCGTGTACATTGACAACCACATTGGTATTTCATATATTAATATTTTAAGAAATTGATGTGTAGTTAGGGTGTAATTCAAGTTCTTTCAAGTCTTTATTTCCCCCATGCAAATGCCTATTTAAGGCCTTTTCAAGACAATCTCTAAACCTTAAGTTCTTTTCAAGACCTGTAAGCACCCTGAGGTTGCTCCGGAGACCTTGTCTGATGCAGAATCACCACAGGGGAATTAATTGTGTTAAAAGATTTCTTTGTCATGTGATCATAACTTAAGGGAATGCTTGTCATGCCTCCTGTCTTTGAGGATGTCAACATATTCACTTTTTTGTTTGGGGTATGCCTTAAATCAATTTCTCCTACACTGAACCTTAAAACTGCTCCCCGAAGTTGCAACTTGGTTGGTTGGTTGGTTTATTGTTTAACACTGCACTCAGCAATATTCCAGCTATATGACGGCGGTCTGTAAATAACTGAGTCTGGACCAGACAATCCAGTGATTGACATCATGAGCATTGATTCACACAATTGGGATACGATGACATGCATCAACCAAGTCATCGACCCTGACCACCCGATCCCGTTAGTTGCCTCTTACCACAAGCGTAGTCGACTTTTACAGCAAGCTTGGGTTGCTGAAGACCTAAGAGGTATAACTGGGGTTGGAACTGCCAGGCCACTGCCTGTATAGGGGCTCCATTAGGCACTAACATACCACCACCAGCATCCTGGGCACACACAAAACACCAGTCCTCCATGGCATTCATGCACAGCTCAAGATAAGCTGCATATTTGCATAAAATACATCAGATGTATCACCATTACCAAACTAATACTACATACAATTAATTATGCATGAAACATTGAAAACAACAAAGTATATATCAACATTTAGCATAATTACCCAATGTATCCTTTTCAACTCTCGTACCTGTATTACTTTACTGAGCGAATGCAGGATTCATGCAAACATTAACTCGTTTATTGTTAATTAGACATGGATATATCACTGTTTAGAGCCTATAAGAAGTAACCAGAAACAGCATTTTGATCAGAATTATCCAAAAAATGTCTATAAATACCCATTAGGGAGGGCCGATGGGATTACAAATATATTAAAAACTGAAAACTATCAGTACCTATCAGTAAAGGACTACTTGTTAATACTCAATGGCTCAAAATATTATCTGTAGCCCCGTTCATGTGCTAGACACTGTTAGGACTCTTCTATGTCCCTGTGTTCATTCACATTCTTCATTCAATAACCATCATCAAACAACCTGTCGATAGAAACTAACAGTTTTAGTCTCTGCCTTATAACAGCAACAGAAACTAACTGTGTTAGTTCATTAGTCCTGATAATGATAACACACAGCAATAACCTTAATGGGAAATTTCTACCAGTCCTTATGATACCTTAACTATTGGGCAGTTTTGTAAGGACTACTGGACATGCCAATTTCTATCACTGATATTGGTATTATTTGTTTGTTTGTTGTTTAACACCGCACTCAGCAATATTCCAGCTATATGACGGTGGCCTGTAAATAACCAAATCTGGACCAGACAATCCAGTGATTGGCATCATGAACATCAATCTATGCAACTGGGATTGATGACATAATCAACCAAGTCAGCGAGCCTGACCATCCGATCCCGTTAGTCGCCTCAAACAATAGGCATAGTTGACTTTTACGGCAAGCATGGGTTACTGAAGACCTATTCTACCCCGGATCGTCATGGTATTAATAAATTAGGGGTGTGTACATTGAAGTGGTCATATGACTGGACTGCTTTGGGACTTGCGACTGAGTTTATTTGGTAGGTTAAAAATATATTTTGCAATGAAAAAGTTTTTCATTATCCCTGCCATGGAATATTGACAGTTTTCCTTCTAAAGAATGTTCATATGATCTTACATAAGCCTCAGCACATATGTTTACTGTGCTGAGGCCTATCTGAGGCCTTTGGTTTATTATTAGGTTTAGAAAAATGTTTGTCCCAAACTTCCATGGTTGAAAAAATAAACAAACTTCAACCATGTTATTATTCATGAAGAAACCCAAACAGGCCCTTACTTTGCATGTTGGGTTCATGTTGGGAGTCGATAGTTTGGCACTAGTTTCAGCTGATTGTATCAATGGTAATAATCTAGTTTGATATGACTGCCAATTGCCAAGTCTAGTCCCCTTTTAATACCATGTATTGAGTGTGTGTGTTATAAATTTTCTTTAAAGCATGGACTATTCTGTTATAACATCCTATTACAACTTCAAAAAGTTTACTAAATTGACTAAAACTGCCACAGTAAAAAGCATATTTGTGGAAATGCATCCTTTTGTTTCAGAATTGCAAATATGACTGTAGCCACTTAGGACTGTCATTGTCCCTATTGCTCTTCTCTGGTGGTCTCTAATAGAGGACAGGTCCAATCTCATTCAAATCAGATCTTAGTTCTCGCTACCGCAAAACAAAGATCTGAGGACATCCCATTAGGGGTCACGTCAGAACGACCTTTCATCCGACCATTCAAAGCGTCGCTTAACAGATCATGAAAGTGACAGTCGGAATGTGATTTCTAATCTTGCAACCTGGAAAACTTTAACACAGGGTATTCCGAACAATAGTTACGGGCTTAACGACTGAATCCATACAATCTAGACCATCTATAAGCCATTACAGAATGTTCTTTTGTTCAGGTTTCAAATTTTTAATCGAGAATTTGTCAAAATATGTTTCGAAGCGTAGTCGCCAATTTGAAATTAGTGCCGTAAAGCACGAGAAAGCTGCCTTCTGATTGGCTAATGTCGACTTCTTGTCAGTCATTCCACTGGTCGGTCAAAGTTTGCACAAGGTCGGTCAGACGTGGGTAGCGAGAAGTAAGATCTGATTTTAATGAGATTGAGAACAGGTCCATAATTTGATAAGATTAATGATCCCGATCACATTGATGAAATGTAATGATTATTCCCCTCACTTATCAATGACTATTTCTTGCAAATGTACCCTTTGTATGACTAGAATTTGGGATTCGGTACAGTAGTGAGTTGCCATTCTGCCTGCATTAAACAGAATAGACACCGGGTCAACGAAATTAATGGACATCCAGGCGTCTAATCATGCTAATTGAGGAAATAGGGTAAATACAGTGAGTACATACATACACCCACACACACACACACACTAGAAAGATCATGAAATAGTTTCTGACAAGAAATAGCTGATGTCAACAAAGTGACAACCATGTTTCAATCTTCATTTGGTCATACGTTCCAGAAAACTACATTTGGTTTGTTGTCATGGTATGATTTCACATGTATATTTTTATGTCGTTTCATGTTTGTATAAAGAAACGTACATGTATTCTTCATTTTGATGTCATCTCAGAAGCAATATTTTTTCATTTTATATATTCACAGATAAATGATGACGAGATCATGAGTACATATGTCCAGTTGACAATCCTAATATTTTGTAACTTGTTTGTTCAAAGAGTGCATGCGTTGTGATAAACGTGATAAATATTTGTTAACAATGTCTTTAATAGTTATGTATAGTTTTACAAAGTGTCAGAATATCTTGTGATGTCTCAATAAAATGTGTTAGCAAATACTTTTTGTTTTTTCTGTCACCAAATGAAGTGAGAATATGAATCAATGTTGTTTTATGTCACAATCATCAACATTTCAGATCATGTCCTGACAGACTGTACAAACCAAGTCTTGGCCCAGTGGCTGATAGCATGAGCATGGATCCACACTATTATTGATCTAGGCATTCTCAGGGGCTGGTATTGGGTTAGAGTGTGCAGCAAATTTTGGTAAAAAATTCCAAATTCCAATAAAAGATGTCTCAATGCAGCTTATCTTAAGTCTGAACATGATGTGTCATAGCATTGCAAATGTGACTTAGTAAGACTTAAAATTGAATACAATGATAGAATACATTTCATTGTAAGAACATATACGAACCTTACAAAAGTTCCAATTTTTTTACAAAATAAATGTTTGCCCACTAATCCTGCCATAGGTACCTAGTTTCAAGACCTAGATAAATCCATAGTATGCCATCAGCCACGCTGTCAGCATCCTAGCCACATTTCAACGTTCATGGTTCATTGTTCATACAAAACTTGTGCCAGGCCTTTTGATGGTTTTGTTTGTTTGTTGTGATGCAGCAGTCAGCAATATTCCAGCTATATGATGGCAGTCTGTAGACAATGGAGTCTGGACTAGACAATCCAGTGACTGACATCGTGAGCTTGATACAATGACATGCATCAACCAAGCTGCTGAGCCAGACCACCTGATTCACCTCTTATGACAAAGTTCCATGGGCCCATATTTTTACCAGTAAAGGCAATGATCACACTCCTTAAGCTCCAAGTCTGTTTTCAAACAAAAGTACATGTATAAGTACATTTTGACTTTGTTTCAACATATTCAATGTGAGAATGGCTCGTAATGCACTATTAGTCCACACACAGTGTTTTCAAAAATATACATTGAGTGACTTCCAGGGTGTTGCTGCACGAATCCATCATCAATTTTGCATACATCATCATAAATAGTTGTAATGTATTTCTTTAACAGCAGAGTTAAGCATGTTTGTAAAGTCAAGCTCTTTTATTATCAACCTTTAAGGCCTTCACAAATTAGATACAATATTAAGGCTTTTTCAAAGTCGGACTGTAGAAATCAGCACTGGTCCTATTGTCCTTGCAACCGCCCATTAGTTAAGGTTTCATAAGTACTGATAGAAACTTGCCATTTAAAGGGTTTGGCTATATATGTTGTCATTATAAGATAAAATGTTAGTTTCTATTGCTGTAAATGTTAGGTCACATGGTAGTGTGAGTGAGTTTGGTTTTATGCAGCTTTTAGCAATATTCCAACAATATCACATCAGGGGACACCAGAAATGGGCTTAAAACATTGTACCCATGTGGGGAATCCAGGTCTCCAGCATGACAAGCGAACGCTTTAACCACTAGGCTACCCCACCGCCCCAGTGATGGTGTGGATTTGCTCCACACAATCCCCACAGGGGAGTGAATATCGTTAAAAGCAGCATCCAATTTTGAACGTAGTACAGCTACAGCAGGATCGCTGCATCAAGGTGGTTGGTAAACAACTGAGTGTTTTCAACCAAACAAACCAGTGTTTGACAGCAAGAGAAAAGTGATTGAGTGAGTGAGTGAGTGAGTTGGGTTTAACGCTGCTTTTAACAGTATTCATGTTATATCACGTTGTGTCAGCTTAATGTGGGAGGAAAGCCCGAAGTGATGCAGGTCTCAGACGTTTACCACTTCGGTGAAACCCACGAGCACAGGTATGGTGCTGACAAACCTAGAAACATAATCGGGGCGAACCGGGATTTGAACCCACAATCATAGGTTTCTGGCGTGCCCAAGGGACGCAACTCTGCACAGCGAATCGCGGTGCCTTAGACGACTGGGCCACCCGTGCCCCCAGCAAGAGAAAAGATCCATTCAACATACAATATGGTCACTGACCACACAACCACCTACAGATTGTAATTAGTTTCCATTTAGCATGTTTAGGTGTCTTTTAAATCTTGTTTAATGCACAAAAGAAATGAGCCCATATTACATGGGAAAACCTTTCTTCAGTAATGTCTACTGGTCCTAGAGTAGAGTAACTTTGGAGCATTTGACCCCAGCTGTAAAACTGAGTGTATGAGTGAGTGGTGTGCCCCACTTTCAGCACTATTCGTCAATGAGCTTCACTCGCACCCATGTGAACTCAACAATTGGCACAAGAAAACATTTTACCTACTTGCCTGCTTCATCAACCACAGAACACAACCAATGACTATATATGTAGACAATAAATATTTTCTTTATTTTTTTTAAATGTAGGATCAGTATTATCATAGTTTTAAAAAGGCAAGCTTTTTGATGAATTATTGCCGGAACGTCAAGATGTCCATATCATTTCAGTCGAACATCAGGCAAAATGAATTACTAGAAATAGACTTCTCAGTATGAAACATTTCAATGCAAGGCCAACTAGTGACTTATAGAATGTGCAACATGCCGCCTCACTGGGGCACGAGGACAGGCTGTCAACCAAGTCACCCACCCTAGACTTACATGGAGTCCCAGAAACAAAGTTGTGCTATAACAGGGTTCACACAGTCAGACATGGAACACCAACATTCAAGGCCTTTTCAAGGCTTTTAAAGGCTGCTAACTGCATTTTTAGTTGGGTTATTATTAGCCTTAGTCTGTCAATATTATATTTAACTTTAAGCCAGTGTGACATATATAAGTTGTAAGATCTCAAAAGCAGTATGACCATCACATTTTACACCCAACAAAAAATAAATTAAGTATGTCAAATCAAGCTGATTTGGTGATTTTCAAGGCTTTTCAAGGTTGACACTAAAAGTTAAGGCTTTTCAAGAGGGACCTTCTTCAAGCCCGCTCAAACCCTGTACAAAGTAAAATCCTAATGGAGCCCAGAATAATTCTTAAATTCCTAGAGCTGAAGCAATGTAGACTTTCCAAATCATTCAAGACTAGATTTGTTTCTTAAATTTTTCTCTAGGCTTACCATGCTTACCACCCAATACAAGCCAGTTGCCTCTAGCTGATGGAGACCTATTCCAACCCAGGCCCCCTGAGAAGGAGGAATTATCCACTAATACAATACTGTCATCACTGTGCTGAAGGTCAAGCTGCACACAGACACAGTGTTTGAAATGATGTTAAAACCCCCAAAGACAGTCGGGCAGGTGACCCATAAGAGTTGCCTGCCCAGCTTCAAAGTTATGGCCCACATTCAGACATTATTAATACATGTATTGAAAAATCACTAAAATAAGCGACAAATTGCATTCTGATTAAATTGAAATAATGAAAAGAATTACTTGAGAATCTACGAGGAGTTATAATAAGACTGAATATGATAGTAGTCTTAAAATTATCTGTCAGATTGTAGGAGTGAGTGAGTGAGTGAGTGAGTGAGTGAGTGGGTCTGGTTTTACACCGCTTTGAGCAATATTTCAGCAATATCACGGCGGGGAACACCAGATATGGGCTTCACACATTGTACCCACATCGGGAATCGAACCCGGGTCTTCGGCGTGACAAGCGAGTGAGTGTGTATTGTTTTACGCCGCTTTTAGCAATATTCCAGCAATATCACGGCGGGGGACACCAGAAATGGGCTTCACACATTGTACCCATGTCGGGAGTCGAACCCGGGTCTTTGGCGTGACGAGCGAACGCGTTAACCACTAGGCTACCTGACCACCCCTTCAGATTGTAGGACATGTGGAGCAAACTTTCAGGCAGCCCGACAGAAAATTAACCAGACACAGGCAGGCAGTTATTTCAGACAATGCACAGACATGGATTGATCATTGATCATTGATCATTTGTCATAAATATGTTTGATTCAACTGATCAATCATCCATCATAATTGGTTGCCACAGATACTGACCAAAGGAATCTTTGAATATTTGCTTGAATCATTAATTATTTTTACCACAATCAATTATGAACCCACATAATCAATTATTGATCAGTGGTCTGTGATTTGATCATTGGAATAGTGTGCAGTGTGTACTCACATATTTTCCGAAGAATGATCTGTTGTCTCCTTGTTGACCTTTGGCCTTTTCTGCCTCTTCCCTTTTCATTTTCTCAATATACGTCTGTGTGTCGGGGCTGGAGTGAAGAAACAGATTGTCCATTAAGCCAAGTGATAGGATGCATGGCAGTGTTCAAAATGAGGTACAGGGCTCACTGAATTTTGCTTCTTCAGTGTAACTGTGTTTGAACGTAGGGATCCCAATCAAGTTCAAATATTCAACATTAGGTTTATGACATTGACCCCCTGACTCTCACACTTAACTTCAAACACTGCATGGTATTCACAGAGTGGCTGGGTGACTGAGCAGTAATGGGTATGATGCTGGTAAGAGTGTGTGAGTATAGTTAACGCCGCTTTTAGCAATATTCCAGCAATATCAAGTCGGGGGACACCAGAAATGGGCTTCACACATTGTACCCATGTCGGGAATCGAACCCAGGTCTTTGGGCGTGACGAGCAAACGCTTTAACCACTGGGCTACCCGACCGCCCTGATGCTGGTAAGAACAGTATTCCAGTTCTGTCACAGTGCGCCAAACTACTGAGCGAGGAAAGTCCAAAAGAATACAGGTTGTAGACATTTACCATTCACAAAAAACTTATAGTGCTCCGTAGAGGTGAAACGGTACAGCAAGGCAACATGACAATGAATATTTCAGACCACGTTCTAGAGGAAAAGCAAGCTGTAGACACACCATCATAGAGGCTATTCTTAGTAGTGAACTTGAAACTCTTATTACAACACATTTTGCAATATCTGACTGACAAAAATGCTGGGGAGAATTAAATGATAAGTAAGTAATTTATTTTAGCAAGTGTATCATCTTGTATCGATAAAGAAAGAAACATATCATGTATCATACCATCTCATTAAAACTCAAAATGAGCTGTGCACTGATGTATCGTTTCACCCCAAGTGCACATCCCTGTTATTAGCAACCAAATCAGTCGCGATTGCAATTTTATGATGGCAAGTTTGTATACATGTTTGGTTGCGTTGTGGCTCCTTACACTATTTCTTAATGGAAAGCCTGTTATTCCATCTAAATCTGGTTACTAATAAAACCAGTTGGCTCCAAAAGTTTTTAAAATTAACCAAGATGGCTGGTTCTGACAAGCCAAGGATCAGCATCGGCTGCAACCTGAATCTGCGATTTGAACCCAAGACATGATGTGAAGTGAAGGGACATAACTCTGCACTAGGAACCTGGAGCCATTTGATTAATGACTAGAAACATGTCAGGGATCATATGGGATTTCATTCACAAAATTCCAGTCATTCTCAGGCTTTATCCCCCATTTTGAAAGCTGTAACAAAATATGTTTTCACACATACCAACATAGAAATGGTTTCACACTTGAACTAGCAACTACCATCACAACATTTACACATCATCATTTACAACGTTCTGGATTCTGAGAGTTAACTGACTTTAAAAGTCCAGTTTCCTCCCTTGCCGAACTATGCTGGAATTCCTGGGCTCGATTGTAGCGCCACCAGTGGCTGTTACGAGTTATGTCCCTTTTATGCCTCTCCTATGGACCAATCAGATTCCACCTCTCGTATCACTTGCATTTGCTTCAAACAAAACAGCGGCGCCCAGTCACGACAATCTGATCAATAATCAAAGCCTATATTGTGATAAAACGGGTCTTACATCACGAAGTGCAATAAATCACGTTAGCACCTTGATTAAAAACATGAAAAGAGTAAGAAACTATCTGTTGACAACAAGATAGCGGTGCACATGCTTTGCAAATCCTGCAATCAACAGAAATCTGCATGACAGTTTACGAACCGGATTTTGATTTCAGAGCATGATTTTGATTGGACTGTGCATAGACTCGTTAGTCCAGCCAAAATGTAACTCCATAATACCAGCCTAGTTTGGCAAGGGTGGAAACTGGACTTTTATAGTCAGTTAACTCTCTTGCCTCGGGAAGATGTCTGGGTTCAAGCATTTTCAAACAGATGCAACTGATCATTAAAAGGGAGACAACTCTATGGTCACCGACAATAGATACATAAGAATTCTACAGAATTCAACTGGTTGTATCAAACTATTCCCTCAATGATGGGATACCACAAAAAACATGGTGACAGTGAATTCATCAACACCTCTCCCTCTCTTGTGGAACAAAGATCAACACAGTGAACGTTGCCAATATAAGCAAAGTAACAATCTATCTGTGAAGATCTGGGTCAGAATAGGTCTTCAGCAACCCATCCTTGCCATTAAGAGACTCCAATGCTTGACGTAAGAGGCAACTAACAGGATCGAGAGGTCAGGCTGCCTGAAGCATGTTATCGTATCCCAATTGCGCCGATCGATGCTCATGATGTCAATCACTAGATTGTCTGGTCCAGACTTGGTTATTTACAGACTGTCGTCATATAGCTAGAATAATGCTGAGTGTGGCGTTAAACATACAAACAAATAACAATCAAATTTTCGTTTGTTAACGGCTGTCTTAAAAATACACAATCAACTGTTAGATTGAAAAGAAATAATCTGGATAATATTGCCCACCTACACACTGTTTTACGACAACCTAATCACCATTCTTTCACACGAATAACAGTGACCTGATGTTCCTATAGTCTAGATAGGAGAAGGATGCTGGAACTCATGCTATGTCATGAGATGGATTTGCACTTGGAAAGAACCAGGAAAACAAACAGTTCGATGCAAAGGAATTTTTCAACACCTCATAAGTCAGAATTCACCAAAGGTTCTGAATGAGTTCCCTACCACTCAGGACAAAACAAACGGAGATAGAGTTAGCTATTACAGCCATCCAAAAACAGGGTAGCAGGGATGGTTTGCTTCTTTCTGTATTATTTTTCTTTGAAAAATGGTAACTTGCAGTATGTCAGTATAATTCTGTTTTCACATGAAGATAAAGACTTGTTTATCTTTCCGGGGTAGAACAGGTCTTCAGCAACCCATACTTGCCGTAAAAGGCGACTATGCTTGTCATAAAAGGCTACTAACGGGATCAGGTGGTCAGACTCGCTGACTTGGTTGATACATGTCATCGTATCCCAATTGCATGGATCGATGCTCATGATCTCAATCACTGGATTGTCTGGTCCAGACTCGATTATTTTACAGACCGCCATCATATAGCTGGAATATTGCTGAGTGCGGCGTTAAACAAAAAAAACAACAACAAAAAACCCTAACCTATCAGTGAACTGCAGTACATTTAAGTGGCATAAAATTTGATCAATACTGTATTCAAGGTGCAAATAACTTGAGATAAAAAGGTCTAGGGTGATGAGCTCCAGATCACGGGGACCCACCCACTACATCAAAGGCATTTATGTCTAGCAGTTATCTGCGAGGATCTCTTACATGTAATATGTGAAACCATATCAAATATATTGTTTGATAGGCATTACTTAGAAGTTGACGGATGACAAGTTTTTTGATACTGTGAAAAGCGACGTTTCGGTATAGATCCTTACACTGTTGTCAAGCAGGACTGAATGAGGGACATAGTACAGAATATATATAGTAGGTGGAGGATTAACAGTAACAGCAATTGCATACATGAGTGGGATAACATTGGTAGGTGTTGACAACAAATATATTTGATACCTTGTAAGGTCTGCAATCCATTTAGTCAATCCTGACAAAACAAATATTACTTACACAGGCCCGGAAACTGTCAGAACTGCTTCCACAGATGTCTTCCAGTTGGTCAAGTTGGACGCAGGAATATCGGCGCCAACACACAAGCCTGGAATAGCGGTCAGCGAGATGCCAAGAACCTCTCCGGACTGGTCAAAGTTCACCATCATCTGGTCACTCAGTCCAGACTCATATATTGCACACTACAACAGAATAAATAACAATGACATATTTTGAGTGAGTGAGTTATGATTTACGCTGCTTTGAACAATATTGCTGGTATGATGTCACAGTGTTTTAGCATGAAGAGTGAGGAAAGCCTGAAGTTACGGAGGTATAAGACATTTACCACTTTGTTGAAACCAACAATCATAGGTAGTGCTGACAAAACTGAAAACAAAATCATGGTGAACCAAGATTCAGATTAATGATTATAGTTTTCTGGCAAACCTAAGCAAAGTAACTTTAAACAGTCATCCATAGGATTTAACATCCCGTTAAAGATTATTGCACTTATATAGCGATGTATATGCACATGTGTGCATCAGTGTCTGCTTGTACTAGTCCGGATAAATGCTGATTTAATAGTTCTAGCCCACTGAGATTCAATGCCGCAGTTTAACATGACTACCTCACTCAGACACAGTATACCACACTCGCACTCTTCTGGAACATTTACAAACATAATACTGATCTCTCACTTCAGCTAATTTTAAAGACATTCTTGGATAGACATAGCCACTAGTCTGTTAGTCTGAGTCCAGTAACATTTTAGATCGACTAATTGTTTTATTCCCAAATCTAGTTATTTTACATCACCACTAGTCGAAAATGAGCAGCGGACTTGTCGGATATGACCAATGATGTCTACCCTGACATTATCCAGTAATAATGCATGAGTGAAGATCTATCTTCCAGATCTGCAAAAAGATACGTGAAATATATTCTGACAGGATTCCTGTTTTAAAGTGTCAGTAGCCAAATTGCCTTATTTCATTTTTTCTATGATCCAAGGTAGATATTTTGTTTTTCCAATTCCCACTTTTAGTTTTTCCTTGTGAACCATTTGCTTCCGCCAGATGACAACTTAACGTTTGATTCTCATCCATTTTCAACGTTTAAAGTGTTCTAAAGCTGAACTCTGAACGGATGTTGAATCCCAGAAAGTGTTAAACGAATAAATGGCTGTTTGGAATGACACTCTATTCTTGACAATTCCAATGACACTTACAGCTCGGGTGAATGTTGAGATATACACTTCATTCTGAGTCTGCTGATCCTCCTGCGATGTGACTGGGATCCTCACACGGTAGATGCCATTGCTTTGTGCCAGATTCTGGTAACAAAAGACAATATGAGTTTGTAACATTTCCCCATTAACAGAATAATTAGTCAAAAGAGAGTCACATAAAAGTTATTACACTTACATTTTGTGGTTATTTGAATAAACAACAAAACGTATGCACATCTGTTTTTTTAAAGATTGGCGCATGGTAAATCTACTTAGAAGCTGGGGATGTTTGATGACATGGTGAGCATGGCGCGATGCGGCCAGCTGCCACCTGTACCAGCATCTGCATACAGAGGTAAGTACCGTATTCGACGTAATAAGCGCCCAGGGCACTCTCAAAATTAGAAATAGGGGGCTCTTATAAGAATATGATTTTAGTGAGAAAAAAACAGAATTGAAAGATCGTAAATTTCGTGGTTTATGCGGACAGCCCGAAATGATACAAAATAAAAGTATGTGCGTATTATACATGATAGTTATATTTTCCAGAATTTAAATGCCCATAATTAAGGGTGCATATATCACACGAGTGTGTATTACACACAAATAAATAAGTCTTGTGTACATTGATCAATCGGAAGGGGTGCTAACTGGGATTGTTCACTAGCCAATATATTAGCAAATATCGCTGTGGGCGCTTATTACGTCGAATACGGTACATCTTCTATGGATGCTGCGCAGTTTCTCAATAACATATTCTCCTTGAATCCATTCATTATATTCAATATTTCTGTTTCATTCTAGTTCATCAAGCATGATATATACATTGTTTACTTTATTATTATACATGTAATAGTCTTTAAAGAACATAAAACATTTAAGACAGAAAATCAGAGTTAATACATAGGGTTTTACCTTGACCTTCAAAAAAGGGGCCCAGGGGACCCACTATTACTAATTACAAGGGTGCTTTAGGTCATATGAGGGCCCTGTAAACATTGGTAAAGAAATGAAATGGTGTAGTGAACTGTACTCAAAACTTACTATAATTATTAGGGCTGGCTACCGATACAGATCTTAGGGATCGATAATTGTTAACTAAATATTGATCAATAATGGATAAATATCCGAGAAATATCTTTGAGCAAATGCGCAAAAAGAAATCCTAAAGAAATCAACATATTTCACTCCACTGGTGAGTGGTGGCACATTTATTCAGGGATTACTTTGTGGCCATTTGAGATATAACAAAAACAGTTAATTTCCATCTTCAGCAATTGACATTATTTTATAATAACAAATCAGTTTGGGTACATTCAAACTTTATTTCATCACAATAGTTCATGTAAGGTATTATCAATGACACAATTTTCATATCGATAATCTACAATATTTCTTCCCATCGATGATAATTCTGATTATCGATCTCTTTTACCAGCCCTAATAATCAGAGGACTTATAATATGTTTTTGTCAAGAATTTGGTACAATGACTTATTGTGCATGCCTTGGGATGCAAATTTTTTATTTAATAAACACAAAAGGCCCCTTCTCTGGTAAAAACAAATCAGTCTTGATAGGTATCTCTTAGATAAGCTAACTTCAGTAGTTTCTGAGAAAACCTGACCCCATTATAGACACTTGGCACCAAGTAAAATAACATGGATCAAGGGACATAACTCTGTACAAAAATATGACCAGACCAAGTTTCAAACCCAGTCTGAACAAGTATCTCAGAGATAAGCATGCAAACTTTCATTCAAGTAACTTCAGTAGTTTCTTAGAAAACTTGTCCACATTTCAAGCAGTATGCACAAAGTATCCGCCATAACTCTGTGAACAATGAATAATGACACCAATTTTCAAACTCACTTGAGATCATGACTAATAACATTAGTGTGTAAAACTTCATTTCTCTGACTTAAATAGTTTGTGAGAAAATTTGAGTCATTTGAGAAGAGGACGGATGGAAGGACGGACAAAGAAGAACTCCGTTCCTTTATCCCCTGACCCACTTAGGGACCGAGGATAAAAACAAGCATGACGATCAGTTACGCCAAATATTGAAATAAAAAGAAAAGATAATAAAGTATTGTCTTAGATTTGAAGGTGTCAGTATTATCTGTATAATCTGTAGCACTTCCCACTGGGGTGATGACAGTGACAATGAAGTGTTGACGTGGGTTGTGAAACTTGCCGCTGGGGGGTCTTTCATCCCATCAATAACATTGTGACCCCCCACTGAGATAATCCTCCTAACCTCTGCTGTCCCTGGCTATCCGCACACCTGATCCTCTGGGATTAATACCCTCCATATCCTACCACCTCTCCAAGTGGCCATGCAAAGAACAGCTCAATGCCACATAGAAGTCCCCATCACATGATGGTTAATTCTGGATTTTCACTGAACAAAATTAATCATTTTCTAGGGACAAATATCACATCAGAAAATTTTAAAACATTTTATACATTTTTAATTGGACATTCTTTTATATCATTATAAATTTTGCAAAGAATCTTTAGGCCATTTTGATTGACAATCAGTTGCCTTATATGTTCCCCACTTTACCATGTTTACACCCCATTGATAAGTCAGCATTAGAAATTGGCACAAGCCCTGTAGTCCTTGCCAAACTGCCGAATAGTTAAGGTACCATAAGGACTTGTAGAAATTTGCCATTTATGCTATATGTCATCATTATAAGTACTTGTAAACTAAAAGTGTTTCTTCTGCTGTCAATATTGTTAACCTAGACCATGGGGACTTTTCCAAAGAATTGAACCAAAAAATGCAGTGAAAGGAATAATTCTCTATTCCATGCATAACAGAAATGTCAAGTCCATTGCACAGTTGTTTGTTTGTTTTGTTCATTTGTTATTTAAAGGTAACATAAATATCTAGTATATTTTTGGTGAGTGAGTGAGTATGGATTTACGCCGCTTTTAGCAATATTCCAGCAATATCACGGCAGGGGACACCAGAAATGGGCTTCACACATTGTAGCCTGCAACCTCGGGGTATCGCGGTACTTGTCATGTACGCTAAACGGAACAAAATGCACTCACTAACCTTTATGTTTATTCGTGTTCTCTGTATCAGATATCATTCATCTTATCAAACAATGCATATTTTACTGATAAAAGTTCATTATTTACATTAGTAGCTCCGAGTAAAAGCCGGGCCTCGCGCTCTGTTTGACAAGGGAGAGAACTCCATCGTATCGCGGTACAGATAAAAGTTGTGTATGGAGGTCCGAATTGGACAAAAAGAGGACATAATTCTACCAACCACTTGGTATGATCATGCCAGACATCAGTGATTTGTCCAGACAAGTGCAAAGACAGCACAAGTAAAATTCTAAATGTGTTATCAGCAATAGGTATTCAATGCATATTTACCGAAAAGTAAGAGAAAAATATTTTTATAAGTCAACATCAAAATATCAGAAATGATATTTTAAGATTGTTTAAAAAAAATTGGATGACAATTATTTGTCACAAAATGGAAAAATGTTAAAAGTCAACAATAAATATATAAAAAGCACTCCTAGTATGCCCAAAGTATGTATTTATCTTTTGGTTCCTAGTGAAGAACGTATTTCTAAGTTTGGCATTATGGCCCTTATGATCTCCCAATAGATTATGGGCACAGAGCGGGAAAAAATGTGCGGACTACGTAACTTCCGTTACATCATTTAGTCGCCATGAATATGCAGATGATCTAGTTCAGGTCGATAGAGAAAGTTTACTTGGGGAACTGCGGGTTATATCTTTGGCCATTGATAGATGGGGGTAAGGAAATATTACAACAGATGCCAGAAATATGTATCAACGGATTAATAACTCCTTACTTACAGCAGACGGAACATTCCGAGGAAATTGAAATTGTTTACGAAGTGAGCACTTCCTGGTTACTGATTTGCATTAATAGACAGCCGCTAAGAGGCGTGTCCCGCCTGAACTACCGGAAATCACAAATGCCGCGATACGATGAATGCCGAGTATACCCATGTTGGGAATAGAACCCAGATCTTCGGTGTGACGAGCGAATGCTTTACCCACTCACTAGGCTACCTGACCGCCCCTGTATTTTTGTGATATGGGCTGGAGGCCTTGAGTACTGAATGAACTCTGTCAGTGAGTGTGTCTGACACCCCACACAGACGCATATTACGACTCCAAGCCCACCAATCTTTCATAGTTATCCTTCAGTAAACACTTACAACTTAAGGCTGACCCATACATTCAGTGGTGTTTCTGGGTTGTCTTACTAAAGTGAGATAAACCCATCAAGATGCTCATGCAAATAATGATATTGTGGCTTATCTAGTTTCAGGTCAGGCATGAATGATGGAGTACCTGGAGTTGAGCCCGCTCTTCTGGAGAGAGGGGGGCCGTCTGTGTGAAGCGAGCACGGTTTCCCTTCAGCGAGTGTATGACAATAGTCCCCCTCTTGGTGTACACTGGGTTGGGGCCTGAAACAAAACCAACCTCCATAGTCTACATGATCTAATTCTCAATTAGTGTCAGCAACCCAACAAACTTCACTGACCACCTTGTTGACAGAGAAGGCGATTCCCCTTGAATTTTCGCATTTGATTAGATGATGCTAACTATAACCTTGCAAAATTTGTATTAGAATACATCAAATCATGTATGTATTATTTTTGCAACAATTGCATATAATACAACAATACTCCCTTCTTGTCATCCATGTTTCATGGTAAAACCCTAAACCTGTGTGTTTGTCATCATTCACTTGATGCTCAGTTAATGACTTTATTCAGATTACCTGACAAAGAGTTTGAAAACCAACTCAATAACATTCATCCCTGTCTACGAGGGTGTCAAGGATATAAAGCAACTAGTGCTTTGCATTTGGCATTTCTTGTGTCCGGGGTAATTATTCAATCTAAGATTGGGTTATAAATCCAGGTCTGATGTGGTGAATGTATTACATGTTATTTCTACAATGCATAAACATAAACAATGCCTAGCAGAACTGAAAATACAATTTAAATAGTATATTGTAATGTTTAGTCATAGTTCATCTCAAATTTCACAAATTATTGAACAAGTTTGAAATAGTTACAGAAATTGATTAAAGTCAAAAGCGTCAATAAACATGATTCCTTGACTTGTTAATATCATCCAGTTACCTCTGTCAAATGAGTGCTCCACCGTAAGTGTCCGTGATCCTTCAAATTCATCTTCAAACTGAAATTAGGAAAACAGTACAGAAAATATTGCATTTATTGGTAGTCTAAACAGCATACAACCGCCAACAGATCAACAGTAATGTATTCACGGCATTTCAAAGTTGGATCATGATTCCACTATATTGTATTTACACAAAAATATAATCATGATAAACAATCATTCAATGATAAAGAGACAAGTTCAAAGAAAATCAGTTTGTTATCAATCATGTTACCTTGTGTGCTAAACAAGATACACACATAATATATCTCCACATGTACATTCCTGTGGCATTCATGCGACTGTCTATGTGAGGATCAGTGCAAAAAAAATAAATCAGGAAGATCGAATTGACGGACAGATTTTAAGCATTTACTGAATTTAATGTTTATCGGCTTGCCGTTGGATTTTTGTTCATGTGACATAAATAGTCATGTGACAACCCCTTCACATATTTTCTTAGGTTCTTTAAGAACTGTGCTTATCTTAGGTTTTTTCAAGTTTACATGTGACAATTTTCTCGGGATATTTCGAAACCATGCAGTTACTAGATTACTAGTCACATTTCAAATGAAAACCGGCAAAAATATGAGTCGCGTTTGAATTACTGAAATAAAGGTGTAACAAAATGAGTGGAATGGGTCGCATTTCTTAATTTCTAGATTTGATTTTGGATAATGTCTGAATGTGCACATATGTCCACTTGTTTATGTGACGCACTAATATGTATAGACTGGACCATGAGCGAAATTCGAAGGACTGCCGGCGTCGGAAGTTTCTTTTTTCTTCTCAGCGATCACGACACCTTTAGTGACATTTTGATCTGTGTGAATAGTTGGACTATGTGATGTTTACGTCAACAGGTTCAAACGTACCGCAAATATACCGTTGGGTGTTAAACACAGTGCTAACCCTAACACCATCCAAACTGTCGTGAAATCTATGGGGGCCGCCATCTTAAAAATGGTTAGGAATTGTGGGATGGATTAATTTCCCTTGAACCAATAAGAACGTCAAATACAAAAACCCTCCCACATTCCAGCCAATCAACTTGCTCGTAACGTCAACGCGCCGCACACTTGTTGTAAAATGGCGGCGAGATGATAGATGGAGAATGTGGACAGTATCTGACTGAATCTGAAAAATTAGCGACCTTATGGATCTTGATGACTACGTGACAATGGACGTAACGAGTGAATTTACTCATGACGACATTGTCGTCTACTCAGTTCTTTACTCGAGCGTCACGGTGGTGTTTGCAATGGCAGTTCTCTCGAAATTCCTGACTAACGAATTCCGCTTTGGGTTCAGGTCGTTTCTGAGTCTAGTAGTTTTATTTTTAGGAGAACCTTTATGTCAATTTCTAGTTAAAGGCCCAGGAGGTGTAGTAACATTTGCTGTAGGATGCCTCTTTGTTTACTCGATTCTACCCGCCAGTCATCTCCCCGTCGGCAACAAGGCCGTATATGTCACAGGTAAGCCAATTGAAGTTACCTTTTGCATCGGTGAGAAGAAGAATATATGTTGTGAGCATGTGGTTCCAAGGCCTTGAAACGCATAGGGGAATTTCCCTAGGTTTTTCCAGATGAGATCATGTGACTATCTGCAGATGTGATTGTGCCTTGCAAAGTCAAGCCTCCAGGGTCAACTGTTACTTATATTTGGAGATAATGAGGTACTATAGTACCAATCATATTACTGCCATAATCAGTTTATATTGAGATACATCAACTGGTCACCAACCAGTTATCGCCATTTTTTCTTGTTATTTTTTAAATATTCCGTGTTCAAAGTTAACTCTGCCAATAACTTTGATTTTTATGAAACTATGAGCACATGAGTATATTTCATGTTTCAGTCGATTTCACTTGTAACGCGACGATAGGGAATATAAACGGTGGAAATAGAAATTTCACGTCGGCCAGCTATACCAGTTATTGCGATCATGCCACATGATCAAGCACACTGGTTCAGTTACACAAATTACATTTTCTATCTTCTCTGGTATCGCATTCAATTTTTATGTTCATTACAATTAATAAGAAATGCTTTTATCAAGTTGTTGTCTGCAAACAAACGTAAACCATCACCAAATTTTATTTACACATGCCTGCCCTCAGCACTATGTCCATTGGATTTCGCAATATGTACAGTGTTATGCATTTTCGGAAAAATAGTTCAACTTTTATTTTGGGGAAGAAATGAAGGATCATAAGCTATGACAGAACTGAACGTGCATCATCATGTTGTTGGATTTTGTTTATGTGTGAATTAGTCACTTGTTGACACTGTCCTCATGTATTTTCTAAAGTTGTATTTAAGCAAGGTGGTTTTTAATATTTCTTCACAAGACTCCGTTTTGTTCGTCATTTTTTTAAAAAATAACTCTCTTCTAATTAAAATGAGCAAAAGAAAAACGAGATGTGGTCACATGCACACTATCACAGGGTGTTGGCAATAATTGATCCTCGGCGATAGCTGGTTGCTAGCTAGAATGTAAGTTTGAACATTTCAAGTAAAACAAGGCACATTTGATGATATGTTTACAACCCATGGTTGACAATCAATGACATTTGGTTCCTTTTGGGGGTAAGATTCAGTTTGTACTGTTCCACACCTTTATCAAAACCTGATTTACTGCAAGCAGTGGGTCAATTAAGTCGTGTAGCTTTGCAATATACTTTTCATTTATCAATTAGCCATGGTTAGCTTGATTAGTGAACATATATGAAGCTGTTTGGTTTTGTTAATGGTCTAATACTTATGTCATGATGTGTTGACAGTTATTGTAATACAAATTATGTGACTGAAATATTGCCGACAATGACATGACTATACTCAAAGTGAGTACAATCATTGACAATAGGCATACCATATTCGACGTAATAAGCGCCCACGGCGATATTTGCTAATATATTAGCTAGTGAACAATACCAATTAGCACCCCTTCCGATTGATCAATGTACACAACACTTATTTATTCACGTATAAAACGTACTCATGTGTTATATGCACCCTTAATTATTGGCATTTAAATTCTGGAAAAATGAATATGGTATGCACTTTGTCATGTACTCTCTTATGGCCCTTCTCCAATTAACTTTCATGTTATGCAGCAAAAATAATTTTCATTGCATAGATTGTGAACATAAATACAAAGATTTTGCTGGCCTCAGAGCTTCAACAACAATGGTCACCAATGCGACCTCAGTTTTAGTTTGGCTACTATAAAAAAACTCAGAGGTCGCCAAATGACTAATTTAAGAATATTTTGTTGCGACTGAATTTGAATACTTCACATGAGTAGACACAGAAACTGGTAATTACCGGTAAACGGGAACACTGCTTTACATGCATCCATCAGCTCAGAATCATGTCAACCATCACTATTATGAGATCCAAATTTACTCTCATCATCGTTTTCACTCAAAACTTTCAGTGGTATGATCGTATCTTGCTGTGCAAAGATGGAAAAGTATTTTGCCATGATGCTGTCAAGTCTACATATGTCAGAAGTTTGTAAACTCAATGCAGTGCACACTAAAATTATTTAACGTAACTGAATCCCCGCAGTGCTGCATGTAGCTATCAAAACGGTAATTGACGCAGACGATGAGTGTGGTTATTAGGGTTATACAAGTTCCATTGCAATCGGAAAAAAACCGGGTGATCAAGAAAACAGCACACCAACTCTCAATCAAGTTATTAGTTTCTTACCGGTAAAATTAGGCTTGGACCGATAATTTATGTGACTGCCAGTCCCTGTGGACTGGCAAATATAGAGCCTTTTAAATCTGTGATATTCATATAAGTATATTTTTCTAAGAAAGTCAGCTTGTCTGTTACCATCAGGGTTTCCCCTTGTCGGTTTTAGTGCAAGGAAATGACATTTCGCTTTGCTTCAAGGTTAAAAATATGTTTGAAGTGACTTCATCTTGAAATATTAAAAAAAGAAGAGAAAATTGTGACTGAACTTTGTGTGAATGATGTGAAGATCAACTAAGTTACTTCAGAGAGGACGTCATTGCTTAGCACTTTATTTTGAAAGAATTATAACCAGGTAATTTTCATGGTTTTATTATTTGTTGAAAGTTGGGAGAGACAAAAATTAGGAGGGACTGGTAATTTTTAGAGTTACCTGTCCACCAGAACTGGCAGTTTCAAGAGCCAGAGGGAACACTGGTAAAGACATGGAGAAACTATACATGCCTGTGGCATTCGAAAGTAAATCAAAACTGGTTGCTATGAACATGATGAAAAGAAAATTATCAAAGAATAGCTAACGAAGTGTGCATGGCTTTTATACAATTCCAATGCTGTGACTTATAGTCAATTAAAATGCTTCTTGGCTACCTACAATATTGGCTTGACTTCTTGATTTTACCAGTGGCTACCTGGAGAAAAGTATTTGTAGCTTTATCATGTTTATGGCCACTTGGTAATATATTAAACTTTGAGGCATATTTTGACATGTGGGTGGAGATTCACCTGAGACCATGAAGAACCATTCACAATTTTTCATTAAAAACGTATGTGCACATTATGTTTTTATTAGAATCATTTTTATTTCGGTGTTTAGGCCAGAGACCCCTTTGCTAAAAATTTTATGTACACCATAATAATGTTTGACGACACACTCAACCAATGCTGAGTGTTGATAAACAAAACAAACTGCTCATGCTAATAACTGCAGTGAATAACTTGGTATATTTAACAGCATTTGGACATTTGGTAATCAAAGTGCTTTGTATGAAACTGAGACAGTTTCTCTGTTTAATTTGAATGATCATAAACCATGTTAACCATGTTAACCACAGTTTTCGATTGATATGTATCACTGCAGAGCTCAACATTGAGGCTGATTTGGTATCATTTGTCTGTTAAAATTCACTTTGTCGACTGAAATAGCAATAGCAGTCGCCACACAACTCCCCAAATTAAAATTAGTATGTGAATTTACAATTATCACAACATCAGAATTAATTTAAAGAATAATCAGGAATCCCTCAAAATATTGATACTTGAAACATTTAAAAATGGGATGTCATATTATTGCAGATAGAAACTCCAGCTAGCATACTGCTATGAGCATGTCTGGATATCATTTCACAAGCTCCATACATTCCAGTAGCTTTGCCTTTGTCAATATAGATTCTGAATGTCTGTGATCTTCACCATGTTCACATAACTATCGATCATTGTATCTTAAGGCCTACAAATGAAAAAGCTAAGATAAAATGTGTCCAAAAGTATTTGCACACTAATCATGCTAGAAGACGAAATAGCTGAAATTTCAGGGATTTATTTTGAACAATATGGCAATGTTTTTCCAATTTGCCGGCCAGGGGCACTTAGTTTAGAATCCTGGGTAAATCCCTGAATTTACATCAGGTGTGAGTGAGTGAGTTTGGTTTTAAACCGCTTTTAGCAATATTCCAGCAATATCACGGCGGGGGACACAAGAAATGGGCTTCACACAGAGTACCCATCTCGGGAATCGAACCCGGGTCTTCGGCGTGACGAGCGAACGCTTTAACCACTAGGCTACCCGACCGCCCCTTTTGCATCAGGTTTGCATGCAAGTCCTTTATGTCTCCCCTAACAGGCAATCATGCATTCAGAAGAACAACAACTTTCATATGTATCACTCCTTTCATGTTTTCCAAGTGCTTGGGTTTCCAAGTTTTGTTGTTTCTGCAGGCTTTATGTTTGTGGCCCCTAAACTTCAGCATTGGTGAAAGTCATTTGGTCCCTGTTATAAAAAAATTAACATAAAAGCCTAGACTAACACCTAGTCTCTGAAATGAACATATCGTACATAAAAAAACAGTTGTTCAGTTATTAATAAAAATATAATAAAAAGGAGCCCAGTGACTCTCTTCATTTTCAGATACTGCAGTGATCTAGACTTGCCAAACATTATAGACTTGCATGGGCTGTATTTGATATATATTTGTATCAGGGTCTGTAAGACAGACTAATAAAAGCCCTGATCATAGAATGTAGTTATCAGTTTGTTGATATGATCAATAGTCCCATTGGTTAGAGACTGATTAAAACCTAGAGGATGAATGTTTTTCTAATAATATAGTTGGCTTTCAGGGTGTGGATATATCAAAAGTTGTGTACTTTTCCCTGGACAAGTAATCAGTCAAATTTGCCCTGAGTACTGATCCAAAGTGTTGTTTTCTTCCAAAGCTCTCTTTTACTGCACACAAGTTTTGCTTTGATGTTGATGAATCAGTTCTTCTATGTCTATGGCTTTTCCCACCATGAATAATGAATTTATCATTTCTAGGCCATAATGAAAGGAAATCACACTTTTTAAACAGCCAGTGTGACCTGCCATGACAATCTTACAATAAGTTGCGCAATGTGGGCTACATGGTACTCTGATCAGCCAATCACAGAGTGTGTCCTTAAGTGTGATCGAAATCAGAACAAGGAAGTACACAATGCACTGCCATCAGTTGGGCTGGTCAAATTGCGATGTCTACACTTTTTGAAAATTATATTTAGTACTTGTTACAAGTGTTTTATCAATAGTGACTGAAGGTTTTCTCAATTTTAGGTTGTCTATGGGCAACTGAAGCTGGTGTTTTTTTATCTCTCCATCCCACATATTAACAGAGCTCCAGATAAGCTGCGTATCTGCGTAAAATACGCATCAGAAATGCAGAAATATGCAGTAAAATGAAATCCAAGTGTATCAAATACGCAACGAACATTACAGATACGCGACAAAAATAAAACTTGTGTGTATCATCAAAATATTGTGGAGTAACCCTGAGTATTTGATTAGCAAATCAGCAACTTATTTTGGGGTATTTTTGAGTCCTATAAAGCCCTCGAACCCACACGACACCAGTTTGCAGGGACTAGATGAAAAGTGTTTTTAAATATTTAACTTAAATACCCACATGTGTAAAAACTAGTGGGTAACAGATAGAATTACTGATACCCAATGATTTTAAAATGCATGGGTAAAATACCAACAACACCAAAAGCTTATCTGGAGCTCTGTATTAATGAGTCGGGCAAGTGGGGCATTGATTTTTTGGATACATGTTCTGAAATGAGCTGTGGACAGGCTTGATATGACAAATTAGTGTCTACCCCTGCCAGGACTGCCAGTGTCCAATTCCCCTTTAACTGTTAAATCAATATATCTTGCAATACACATAATACAGCACTGTCACTGAATATTTTGTGCTACATTTGTACAGGCTATGCTCATCCCTATTTCAAGGGGCGTTGGGGTAGCATAGTGATTAAAGCAGTCTCTCATGACACCAAAGGTCTGGGTTTGATTCCCCACATGGGTACAGTGTGTGAAGCCCATTTCTGGTGTCCCCCGCCATTATATTGCTGGAATTTTGCTAAAGTGGCGTAAAACCATACTCAAACCTATTTCAACTTGTTAAAGGGGTGTACTTGTTTCAGGTTGTGACAGTGGGTTTGGAAATGCCTTGGTGAAAAAATTGGACAGTATTGGCATGCGGGTGTTTGCAGGGTGTTTGGACAGCTACAGCCCTGGTTCAATAGAGCTCAGAAACAAATGCTCTCAGAGGTAAGTCATAAATATAGCATTTTGTACTGTCATTCGTCATTGGCATGATTGCTGACCCTTGCAAGTATTTGAGAGCAGAATGGATCTCAAGTACCCAGTGCTTGTAAAAATTGATTGAGAGGGCAATCATGTGTGACCTGGCTGATTGTCTGTTGTAATGGTTTTGCTCATCCAGACTGGCACATGAAAACGTTTCGGTGCACATGCACTCTTTGAAAGTGGTCCTCTCTGTGTTTAAAAATCCTCCAAATGAGCCCGATGAGCAGAGAAAAACGTGCTGAAAATTCTTCTGCAGGCCAAAGTGATATACAGTGAACCCTCGCTACAACGCTACCAATGGGGTCCAAATAATTGGTGGGGGCTATAGACAGTGAGCCGTTTAACCGAGGCCGAGGCGGGGGAGCGCGCTCGACCAATCTCACGATCTTCGCCTTGTATCGCACATTGCAATGATACAGGTTGTTCATAGTGTAAAAATAAAGATATTCTCATTGTGTTTTCGTCGTTTGTTATTATTTACAAGCCTTAACTGTCACATTCAACGTGATATTAGCCTACTTACATGTAAATATCGATCGATAATGGTAGTAACAGACGCTATGAGTGAAGGGCCAATCACAATTCATTATACACGTAGTTGCAATCGTAATCTGGACATTAGTTAAACAAGATGATATCAACAATACAGTCCCAAGTAATGAAGTTTCACTGTACTTGTATTATGTACTTGCATTTGTATCGTTACATGTCTTTATGATTCAAATCATGCTGGCGCTGTTTGTGTCAGTATAGTAGAATGATTGTAATGGAGTCCCTGTGTTACCATGGTTACAGGTTACATATTCTCCAGCTAGATGTGACAAAGGAGAAGGACATCGAAGCTGCAGCTGATTACATCCAGACTCAGGTGGGAGAAGAAGGTATGTATCACAGCCTTGGCAGTATAAACCATTGTAAACTGCATCATCAGTACCACAGGATTGGATTTTTTTTTAGATTGTTCCAGCTCTATGATGACGGTCTTAAAATAGTAGTGTCTAGCCCAGACAATCCAGTGATTGATAACATAAGCATTGATCTATGCAATCAGGATATGATGACATGCGTCAACCAAGTCAGTGAGCCTGACCACCCGATCCCGACCACCAGATTCCATTAGTTGCATCTTACGACAAGCATGGGTTGATGAAGACCAAGTCAAACTTGGATCTTCACTTGGGTGAACTTGTTTGAGAATTATGGGTAATTTTTGTAATTTCTCAATCAGAGCCTGATTTTGAATTGGATTTTCGAACCAATTAGTTGCAGTGCTCAGACATGTTGTAGTTGCAAGAATTATTGAATGCTTGATAGAGATAAACATGGCCCTTAGTCTGTTAGCATGGTTAGTCTGAGACTAGTTTTTGTTTGTTTGTTGTTTTACGCCGCACTCAGCATTCTAGCTATATGAGGGCGGTCTGTAAGATAATCGAGTCTGGGCCAGACAATCCAGTGATTGATATCATGAGCATCGATCCACACAATTAGGATTGATGACCTGCATCAACCAAGTCAGCGAGCCTGACCACCCGATCCTGTTAGTCGCCTTTTACGACAAGCATAGTCGCCTTTTACGGCAAGCATGGGTTGCTGAAGACCTATTCTACCCCGGATCTTCACGGGTCTCTGAGTCTAGTGATAAACCTGAGGGACTACTTGTTTTCTCCTCTTCTCTCCCCTTCCCCCCATATCTACATCATCTAGTTATTTTGGCATAAACCACTAGTCTGGAATGCGTTTACTAGTTGGATATAATCATGGTGTCTTTCCCTCCTTGATATTTCTGTTTTTGTACTAGGCCTTAGAAAAATCTTAAAATTTTATATAAAGGCTTGATTCATTTATCATTTAGATACTCTGTCATGGCTGACAAAATAGATTCCTAATTATGTTATTTCTTTAGCATGTTTAGATTCCTGTCTTACTCTCAGGTAATGTGTTTGCCCGAAAGACTTTCTTCACATTAGCAATAGTATGGTAATATGTCTTACGAGAAGTGCCATTATCTCATGATTCCCTCTTGCATCAGGCACCATGTCAACACAGAAAGAAAATGGCAGTTGCTACCTGGAGATAGAGATGTCTTGCTGACATATGTCTAGCCCTGCACATGTAAATGATGATTGCGAGTGTTTTTTTTACTGTGGGTGTTGTTCCAGGTCTCTGGGGAGTGGTCAACAATGCTGGGGTGTGGTACTTCTCCGAACTTGAGATGACCTCAGAAAAGGTTATAAGGCGTGTGATGGATGTCAATTTATTTGGTGCTGTCCGAGTAACAAAATCTGTTCTTCCAATGATCCGACAAGCAAAAGGACGTATTGTCAACGTTTCAAGCTTACTTGGTTTGTATATTTTCACTATCCACTTAAAAGTACAAGAAAGTAGCAGTCTGCGACTTAAGCTACTACGCTGAAACGAGTGTCTAGTAAAATTTAGTTTGGTCTAGTAAGCATGGTAAGATCAGGAAAAAATTCCAGTTTCAAATTACTATTTTTTATTTCGTCCGGAAGTAAATCTTAATTTATTGTGTTTTGAAGATTTTTAGAGAAACTTTCAAAGACTTTTTATTATAGTATTCTATATAATTGATTTATGTTTATAGCAATGGCTTGAAATATACACTGCTTTTCATATAGATTATGTTCACATTTTGATGTTTGGGAGTTGGCGTTTTCATAAACCAAGTTTTTTAACAATAGTTTTGTCGAACATTTCAACATGTTCAAAAGCATCCATTCTGATATGCCCTTTTAATGGAATAGCTTGGTGTCAGTGATGACTGCACTTAACTTGGGATGATCCTATCAGTTGTTACACAGATAGCACACAGTTAATAACCAGCTGTTGCAATGAACACATGGTGTCCTTCACACATACACAAATCAGTTTGTATTAATGTGGATGCAACATGTGCTCATTTTAAACTAGAATTTGTATGTGACTGAGTGCACTGTTCATCTCATCTAAACCTAACTATGTTCCTAGAAATAGACCTGCAGCATATTTTGCGTAAAATCCTGCCCCCCCCCCCCCCCCCCGAAAAAAACCCAACATAATAATATATATTCAAAACCCAATTACTTTAAATTAACTTGCGTACAGAAACGCATGTATTAAATGAAAAACTCAAATGTATAAAAACAGCATGTGTAAATACCCAATGAAGTTTTTTCAGCATGCGTACAAAGGAGCTAATTTCCAAAAGACAATTAAGAGCTAATTTACTTTCCGAGTCAAGCCTATATATTTGGAACAGTTATATATATCATTGTACATCTAAAACATTATTTCATTTGTTTCAAATCTTAAAATGTTCACTAATTTTGGGAAAAACCCAATAGAGTGATGAAGAGATGAGTAAAAACATTTTGGTTACCCAATGAAAAATCTAATTACCCAATTGAAATAGAATCCCTAGAGTAAAAACTCAAATGCTCAAAAAGTTACCTGGAGCTCTGCACTGTCATAAAGATTATATAACAAACACACTGAACACTAGCCTGAATGATGCTACTGTAATGTACTAGCCCTCCAGATACCCCATTCAACAAACTGCTTTGGGCCAAGAGGCTAGTGTGACTTTCTGTCTCTACCCTGTGGGGATCTATGGCATGATAGGTCCCCAGTACCCCACCTTTGTCACCTGCATAGACATGGCTGAGGATTAGTTGGAGCAAATTCACAATCCAACGTGATCATGGTTATATGGCTGGAATATTTTTCAACTTATTGAATGCATCAAAATACATGTATTAATATAATACCAACATTACTTAATCAAGTGTTGATCTAATCTCCTGCCTGTGTTCTTATCCCTATATATCTAGTTTCTTAAAATCCTGAATAGTAATGTCCTTGACACTAAATCAGTCTGCATCTTTAGCCACTTGGCTGCTGCCAGACAAGTAAAATTCTACTAGGTCAAGTAAGCTCAGCTAATAATAACACTAAATTCTACTAGGTCAAGTAAGCTCAGCTAATAATAACACTAATTTCTACTAAAAATGATGCTAAGAATTATATTAGGGGAAATAAACTCGAAAGTTTTTATCATAGACTGCTCATGCTGTGTTATGCTGAGTCCAGTTTTAGTTTCCTGTCATCTTACAGTCCCATGTTTTTTGCTTCAGGTCGCATCTCCATGGAAGGTAACGGTGCCTACAGTATGTCCAAACATGCGCTGGTGGCGTACTCTGACACACTCCGTCAAGAGATGAGGAAGTGGGGGGTCCATGTTGCTATTATAGAACCCACAGGATTTTTCACAGGTTTGTGCATATCAAGTGTATCATGTTATGGTTGATATATAATGACGTGTAGTTGAGTTAGTTTTACTAATTTACGTCTTGTTCAGAATGGCTGGTGAAGTCCTTGCTAAGTTTATTTGTATGTTTTTCAACGCTGCTCTCAGCAATATTCAAGCTATATGACAGCGGTCTGTAAATATTTGAGTCTGGACCATCATGAACATCGAACCACACAGTTGGGATGCAATGACATGCATCATCCAAGTCAGCAAGCCTGACCACCCGATCCCATGAGTCGCGACTTACGGCAAGCATAGGTTGTTGAAGAGCTATTCTAACCCAGACCTTCATGGGTGTTCTTCCTCCGAATCTACTACCTTTAAAATGGCATGACGTCATCTTAATGGTTTGGGCGATGTTCATAATGTATTCTTGAATGCATTTACTTTCTTCAAGTTCATTGTTTCACTAAATGGCTGAAGGGGACTTTTAAGTCCTTTATTACAACTGACACATCCAACTTTTAGTTGCTGTCAATATCAACAGGGTTGATGTTAAGGCCTCCGAGACAGTGACATTCTGATGTTCTAAGGGAACGGTGATGCCTGCAGTATAGAGCTATGCTGTGTCTGTGTGGGATTCCTGGGTCAGAATAGGTCCCAAGCTAGACATGCAGATCAGGCGACTAAATGGACTGGGTGGTCAGATTCGGTGACTTGGTTGCGATGGCGTGGATCGTTGCCCACAATATTGATCAGGGGATTGTTTGGTCCAGATTCGAATATTTCCAGATCACCATCATACAGCTGGAATAATTCTAAGCGCAACGTTAAACAACAAACTAACAAACAAATTGAACCAGATGGCCTTTCCTGTCACAGTCCACTCCCAGTGAACGTTCAATATATATTTATCACTATTTTGATCCAGATGTGTCGAACTGGATGTGCCAAATTCCCAGTTGTCTCCATTTCAATTTATAGTCCCAAGAGTTAAAAATAAATTAGAACTTACACTGATAATTCAAATGTTTTGAAAAACACAACTTAGCACATAGTAGTCTGAATAAGATGCATATTGATGTGTAAATGCATTTAATGGACAACAGAAAGTAAATGTACTAAACCTTGCATGTTACGTAAATAATACTGCTAAAAAAACAAGCATTTGTCATATCTACAATGGCCAGGACTTACAGTAATAAGGGCAAGTTGCATGTGTTGAAACCCTATAGAAGTCAGACCTTTTTCTCTGGTCCCCAGGAGTTTGAGACAACAGGGTTAGATTGTAGCTTAGGGTTTTCCTTATAATCTGCATGACCCCTTCTTTGATAAAGGGGGTTATTGTACAGAAATTTGAATGGATATTTTACACTGGATTGTGTGACCAAAATCAAAAGTAGCAGCTTAAGTTTGATGAGTAACCAATGAGCTGTTTGTTAAACATTTTGTATAAATTATTTGAAAATCACAAATTATCAGCTCATTTGTTGTTGATCCGTGAAGCCTATGAAGTAGTTACAATTTCATCAGCATGATAAGATAGTCATGCTGGTATCATGATTGATTGCAGAGTTGCATCCCTTTGTTGTGCCAGGATCTGTTGGTCTTTGGTTTCAATCCCAGATTCACTCGGGATATGATGATTGGTTTGTCAGCATAATACCTGTGCTAACTCACAAGGTTTCCACTTGCTCCTCGACACACCGTGATGTAGTAATGAGATACTGTTGAAAACATCATTAACTCCCCCAACTCGTTCTATTTTCCAGTGTATCTGACAGAATGGGTGTTGGGGTTGAGATACCATGCTGCAGTATAACATTAATACCCCACTCAGACACAGTATACTGACTCAAGAGCTGACCAGTCCTTGTTTTAGCCCTTTTTTTCCGAGCGCCAGACAGGGTAACAGCAAGTACCATCTTTTAACATGTTTTGGTATGACATGGCCAGGGATCGAACCCGGACCTTTCGCTCTACCACTAGACCATGGAGGCAGTCTTCAGCAATTGTGCCGACGCCCACTATCTCTTCGTCTGCTAGGTTAGAATGTTTTAAGATATTGGTGGTGATAATATTTATTGGAAATCCCTGTGTAAATAGTTAGATCAACCTATGTATGTCCCCCATTCAGGACTATTTCTATTTCCCCCCAGGTAACATGCAGGAACATGTTATCAAGAGCCGGAGAGATGAAGTTTGGAATTCTCTAGACGAAAAGACTCGTGAAACATATGGGCAAGATTATCTTTACTCCACATATTCTCATATTCTTGCATCAGCTCAGCGATACCCTGCCGACCTGACCCCTGTCACACGCTGCATGCGTAGCGGACTTTTATCAAAGCGTCCCCGAGAGCGCTACCCCTGCGGCACTGGCGCCGACATCATGTTGAACATATACCCACTCCTTCCTGTCTGGGTGGCAGACAAAGTGTCGCGAGCGATCGGCATTTTCCCTCGGACAATACTGCCCACTGGACTACAGGAATGAGTGGATACAAATCATACAAGTGCTACCTTTGTTGTGATATGTTTTTCAACATATCAATATTTGTTAAAACTGCCATTTATGAAATGTTAGTGATAAGTTCCCCTTGTGTCACAGTCATGTAAGCAAAATTTGCTGAAAGGAAATATTTTTAGTTCTTGAGGATAAAAGATCTTGCATGAAGGCACTTTCATGTTTATAAAAGGTCATGTCAGTATGGCTGCTGGGTTTACATATTATCTAGACATTGATGCGGGAGGCAAAAAAAGCAACCAAAAATAGGCTGAGTTGGAGTTCAAGTGAAGACCACTTAATAAAACTTTGACCAAGGTGAAAGTGATTGCTGAGATTCAGCTGTATCTAGTGTTTCAGCTTATAAACCTTAAGGTAATTATCTTTGAAAGAATTTAATTATGGAAGATAGAGCAAAATTTCATATTAATGATCTTTCTACCTAGAGCAATGCTAGAGTATTTCAGTCAGAAATTGTGAATAATTTTAGCTATTATGTGTTTATCGAGTTTCAATGATTTTGTCTTTTGATACTTCGTAGACAAGGTCTAGAAATGTCATCTCTTTACTTTTGATGCTGCTGCTAGCAAAGATTTATGAAATCAATTGTGAATGCGCTGAATAAATTTTGAACTGCTAAGCCACTTACGCTTGCACACCATAGCTTTGGGAAGCTGCAATTAAGACACAAGGGGAGATAACTCTGTACTCGTCCACCTGTTAATGGTTCATCCAATGTTATAAGTTATTGTCATAAGTCATGTATGTATGCGTGTGAGTTTTCTTGGAGTGTTTGGACCATAGCTAACTTATTCATAGGAATCCAAACTTTAAACATTAACTTTATTCACATTGTTCAGTGAGGCATTGTTCTGTATTTATGACGGTGTCAAACTTAAGATATCATCTCTCATGCCCAGACATAATGAAGACAAGCTGTGTATATTGTAAAACCACTTTAATGTGGGATTGCTTCATTGTATATATGTTTCAATATTCTAGATATTTATGTTTACATTATATTTTTTGTTGTCTTAAAGCAAGTTAAGCTGAAATGAATTATGTTACGGTTGTAACCAAATATCATGATTAAATCACATAAATTTATGACTCTTCTGCTGCTTGCATTCTGATCATTTCTCCTTCATTTAAAATAAAACATTTTTGGTCCCGAAGCAATGTTTTACTGGCTAAGCATCCCATAATTGTGTTGCGAAGAACTTTTTCAACTAAACTTTTTAAGCAAAAATAACAACCTATTTATACCAGTGTAGTGGCATCGATCTCAGTTGAATAGATCTGCCAATAACAAATTGTTTTGCAATTCTTAATTACAATTCTTACTGATTCTTCACATTTTTAAACCACGGAAATTATTGGAGTATCAAATATCAGTTATGGTTATTAGATCATAAGAATATTGATTGCTATGGACATTTTTAACAGAATTTTATTTTTTAATTGTCACAGTAACTTGAGTAAGACATTTGTTTTGAATCAATAGCTGCTTCTAATCAATGATATGCCTGCAATTGTTTCCTGAATTTTTCAGTTTTTGCACTGCCCCTTTTACTATGGTTATTTGACATATCGTTATCATGAAATTGGCATCATGACACAAGGTCCAGAGAACGTGCACTCCCTAGTTTTGCTGTTGTGTTTCATGTTAAGTGTAAGAAGTTGTACACATGCTGTGTGTAGTGGAGTACTTGACACTCAAGCAGGTTGTTATAGTATATATATAATGTTATATACTGATTGAAATGAATATGCTATCATTGGTTCCCAGCCTTGTCCACCAGAATGCGTTGGAAACAATGCACACAAACACATCTCAACATTTGATTCTGACATGTTGGATTTGTATACTTGCTATTTCGAATGTACTGACAGTAAAGCTTATTTGCGTATATTTTTCATTGTTCCCTTATTCGTTTCCATCAGTATATTTCTAATAACTCACTTGTAAGCTGCCTGCTTTGGAAATTTTTTGTATGTTGCTAATTTTGTTTGCATGAAGCATTCTGCCACTGTAGCTGTATAACTTACAGGTTTGGAGTGGATTATACTGGAAATATATTTTGTAAAGGTTTACATGCATTAAGAGGTTTTCTCCCTTGAAGTTCCTGTCTTTAAACTGAATTAAGTATTAAGATAAATTTGCATATTTAGAAACACATTTATCAGTATTTATTTACAGAGATCAACAGTAGGCCTTTCTGTTTCATGTTTGCCAACTCCATCCTAAACTGAAGAGTCATTTCTAGTTTATCTCAATACTATTGATGCCCATACGGAAATACCTGATGCAATTCTCTAGTCATTACCATGGTTTGCATTATGAATATCATTAGATGTAACCATGGTAACAAGTAGGTCATACGCATCATTATGTAATGATCTTCGTTGGGAAATGGAAAGCAGAATGTGAACTTACTAGGGCAAACATATCGGGGTTCATAAAAATCATATGTGCCCTAGGGTCATATCATGTCGCCAGACAACAGTGTATTGTTTCCATCATCCAGACTGCATTGTTGACGTCACATGAATCTCATTGTGACGTGGGGTGGGAATGATGTCACAATAGAAACGACGTCGTACCTGAAGATTGTTGACGCCATTCTACAAATTGTAGTTCAGCTGGTGTTGCGACTTAAAAGGTAAACGACTTGCGACTTACAGGGAAACACTAAATTCTGTCTCTGTATGTAGACAACCTCTTCAGTAATATATCGGACAGTAATTTCGTGTTCATGTCATACTATGTTTACGCCACTCATGCCCAAATTCCTGTATTTCCCTCGCTCTCACTCATGAAATAAAGGAATTTAGACACTCGTGGCATAAACATAGTATGACATGAACTAATATAATATACCAACTGGAATTGCAAAGGAGACAGAAGGATAAGGGACCTTCTTTGGCACAGTATCTGCATAATTTAACAATGGAGCAAAACTATCAGACTTTTTCAATGTATGGGACAAAACATCATCTGTATTATTAATTAACTTGCAGTGTAATAATGTCCTCCTGTCTCTGCAGATTTGTTATTATCATACATGGTCAAGGCTGCTACGCCTTCATTAGGTCATGGTTAGAGGCGACTAACGGGATCGTGTGGTCAGGCTCGCTGACTTGGTTGATGCATGTCATCGATCCCAACTGTGTGGATCGATGCTCTTCATGTCAATCACTGGATTGTCTGGCCCAGACTTGATTATTTACAGACTGCGTAATATAGCTGGAATATTGCTGAGTGCGGCGTTAAACAAAACAAAAACAAAATAATAATAATAATAATAATAAAGGTTAGCCCAGTGGACAAAGTATTTGCTCGTCAGACCGAATGCCCTGGTTCAATTCCCCACATGGGTACAATGTGTGAAGCTCATTTCTGGTGTCCCCTGCCGTAATGTTGCTGGAATTGCTAAAAAGCGGAGTAAAACAATATTCACTCACTGTCTCACTCACACATGAAAATATACATGATATAGGCAGGGTTCTTATTATTTGAAATATCATCCACTGAATCACTTGATTGCCTACTTCCTGCCTATCCATTCTTCATGCTTGCTAAATTCATTGTTCATGTGATAAATATTGATTTTTGAACTTCAGGATATTAATGATTTCTGGAATGACAAACCAGATTTTTTGTTTCTGTAAAACATGGTAAACAGTTTTGGAATTGAAGCTATATCCTTTTGTTCTTCAAAATCAATGTTTCATAGGAAAAGGATGTGCTACTATGATGATACAGCATTGATCCTACACTGCTTTAGTTACTCTGTATTGCAATACAGGTCATGATATGATGCATTGATTTATTAGGGATTTATCCTGAAAGGACTAACCCAAGAACATTCTCAATTCAGAGAAGATACCAGAATGTGTTTATGATCTTTCTAAAAATTATTTTGTGTACCACTTAAAAGAGTTGAGGACCATCTGATTCTTTCATACAGTGATCCCTCGCTTCAACGCTACTTTTGGGTCCAAATAATTGATGTAAGTAAGTGTATTACAACCGTTTATCTGTCATGGCCGATTAAACTATAGCAATATGAAAGAATCAGGTGGACCTTAACTTTATTTTAGTAGTATATATCATAATCTTTGAATTACCATACAATAAACAATTACAATCTAATGACAATGGATTGGTGTTGTGATCCTTGCTGTGATACATCGGTGATTATCATGATCGTATTCCACTATCGATACAGCAGCCGTTGCTTACGTTAATGTCAGATTGCCATCCTCTTATTGCAGTGCATCGTATCAAGCTTGTATTGCAGTAGACACTCTTACAATCAATATCATTTTTCCTTTTTTGCTTGAATCCATAACTGGAATGCTTCACTGCAATAAAATCAGACATCATTGATAAATCATTTCTTGTGATTCTTTTCTTGCGGTCTTCACAGTCGTGCTTTCAATATGATTAACACTCTGGCAACCTGCTTTTAAGTCGAAACAAGTTTAGTCATGGAAAGTCATCATTGTTTGGGTGATTTAAAACAAACTGTGTGGACTTTTTTCAAAGAATGGTCCGTTTTTCTTTAGTTTTGTCCAGTTTTAATACATCTGGTTTTAATATTGTATTAATAGAAAGATTTTCTGGATTATACAGAAGTATTATCTTTCCTTGCTTTAACTGTTCCACCATGGCTGGTTTTGCAATAGTTTTATTTCTGAAAAAAAGAAAAGAAAACGTACAACTTACAACATTATCTGTCAGTAATATGCTCAAGATCAAAACGTCACTGAAGCAATAAAGTATCCATAAAGTTGCACTTTTCTTATTTACCCAACAACTTCCAGAATGCCAATAAAGAAAACCTGGTAATTTTGAAAACAAGATATTTGTTTTTGCAATTTATCATTAACGTTATGTGTACCAGGTGTATATAAGCTCAACTATTGTAATCATCTTGTGAAAGACCAGAAGAGCCCATACAATGATGGCTGGTCCTTCCTGTCATCCACTATCACATGGCTTCCTGTTGGTAGCCTTGACAAGTATGAAAAAGTCCATGTTCCAGTCCGCGAGATCTCTCATGACTCCAACTGTTGCCAATCACATGACACACCATTATCTGGCTGAAGACATTGCCACCTGTCTGCACACCGCTTGACTGCCATTTTCTGTCAGTAACCAGCTAGTAATCATAGTAATAGGGGATGTAGTAGATGAGAGCTCCAGATAACTTTTTTGATTAATTGAGTTTTTACTCGAAGGTTTCTATCTTAATTGGGTTATTACATTTTTCATTGGGTGACCAATATTTTTTTTCTCATCTATTCATCACTCTATTGGGTTTTCACCAAAATGAGTAAACTGTATTTCAGAGTATCAAGTAGGCCAGTATCCCGTATACTGCAGAATATAATTTCTGTTTAAATGTTGTGGTATTTGGATTGCATTGAAACTTGCAGGCACTGACAAGTAATTGGAAAAAAATACTGTACCATGTTTGAAAATGTTCTGTTTAGCAACTCGGACCATACCAACTGCATTATTTTATTCAGGAGGTGATTTGTGAGATTCATCTACTCTCTAATAATCAAAAATAAAATAATAATACAAAAGTCATTCGTTGTGTCTGGTAATACTGGACTTTTGAATGTTACTGGTTCAATCGTAAGCCAACACATTGATTAATTTCAATGTCGTTTCATAAATGTGACACAAACTGCAGCTCATCAAAAGTGTTTCACCCTTAGTTAAAAAAATAAGCCATGGTTGTTTGTTCATTGACATCGGTCGTTGGTGTCAAAAGAGTATTCTGTGTCGTCTGCTGCACCGATTTTCTTCCCAAGTAAATGGAGCCCGCCATTCCCATCTTATCTGTAGCTCTGGTAGACATTGTATACATATACTATCGAGATCACTCGACTGTGTGTCTCAGAGTAGCCATTTTCTCCCTTAGTACCCTTAGTATTCTTTGTCACCCACAAAATCGAGTGTTGATTATGACCCAGTGTAGTGTATTGAGGTTCAGGAAGGTCAAGTCTGAGGTGAAAGCCACCAAATGGGGTCAATATGAAGGTGGTCTGATGCCACACACATATTCACAGTTGAGCATATCCAAAAGGAGGTCTGCTATGTTTGGTACAATCCCAAAGAAATGTGTATGTTTTGGAAAACTGGGGGTGGGGGAGGGGGGAGGAAAGTATGTTTTACTTCCCTATATTTTATGAAGATAAAAGACTATTTTTCTTGCTTTCACTTTTTCAGGATGAGTGCTTCACAAAAAGCCTTGATTGTTTGAATCATTGCCCTGAATGTCTTTTGTACAGGTTGCAATAATCTGCATGAATACATATGCCCGTGTGTGAGAAGGGCAGAGTCTTGTCTATTTTTCCTCTGTTACTCTCTGCCAAACCAAGCAAACCAAGTTGTGCACAATTCCTAATGGAGAAGAAGAAAGAAGTCTAGAATAAATGTGTCTAAAATATATCCTCCAAATGTTAAATGAATCGAAGTAACTCTATAGGTGTATGATATGAACATCGTGAGCCCAAAATAACCAAATATATGTATTAAAATACATTGTTTTTGTTAAATCTACTCCATTCCCAGGACAGATCAAGGCGGGTTGTGCGACTCTCTTAGTCTTGCTACAAAGATGATACAGACCGTGCCATGATGGCATGTTGTATGCCAAGCTCCCTCTCCTGACACACAGATCTAGATGGGTCTTGTAAGTTTCTTGATCTTGTAATAAAGATGGACCAGACAGTGTCTTGATGGTGTAACACTTGCCATTCTTCCCCTCCTGCCACACCCTAGTACAGACCTAGATGAGTCTTGTAAGTTTCTTGGTCTTGTAATAAAGATGGACCAGACAGTGTCTTGATGGTGTAACACTTGCTACACTTTCCCTCCTGCCACACCCTGGTACAGACCTAGATGAGTCTTGTAAGTTTCTTGGTCTTGTTATAAAGATGGTCCAGACAGTGTCTTGATTGTGTAACACTTTCCACGCTTCCCCTGCTGACACACCCTGGCACAGATATATGTGGGTCTTGGTACAGATCCAGCTGGTTCATGTAAGTTTCTTGATATTGTTATTGAGATAGTCCAGACAGTGTCTTTAAGGTGTAGCACTTTCCACGCTTCCCCTCCAGACACACCGTGGTACAGATCTAGATGGGTCTTGTAAGTTTCTTGATCTTGTAATAAAGATGGTCCAGACAGTGTCTTTAAGGTGTAGCACTTTCCACGCTTCCCTTCCAGACACAACGTGGTACAGATCTAGATGAGTCTTGTAAGTTTCTTGGTCTTGTAATAAAGATGGACCAGACAGTGTCTTGATGGTGTAACACTTGCTACACTTTCCCTCCTGCCACACCCTGGTACAGATCTAGATGAGTCTTGTAAGTTTCTTGGTCTTGTTATAAAGATGGTCCACACAGTGTCTTGATGGTGTAACACTTGCTACACTTTCCCTCCTGCCACACCCTGGTACAGATCTAGATGGGTCTTGCTTGTTTCTAGGTCTTGTTATAAAGATGGTCCAGACAGTGTCTTGATTGTGTAACACTTTCCACACTTCCCCTGCTGACACACCCTGGCACAGATATATGTGGGTCTTGGTACAGATCCAGCTGGTTCATGTAAGTTTCTTGATATTGTTATTGAGATAGTCCAGACAGTGTCTTTAAGGTGTAGCACTTTCCACGCTTCCCCTCCAGACACACCGTGGTACAGATCTAGATGGGTCTTGCCTGTTTCTTGATTCTTGGTCTTGTTATAAAGATGGCCCAGACAGTGTCTTGATGGTGTAACACTTGCCACGCTTCCCCTTCCACACCCTGGTACAGATCTAGAATGGTCTTGCTTGTTTCTTGGTCTGGTTATAAAGATGGTCCAGACAGTGTCTTGATGGTGTAACACTTTCCATGCTTCCCCTGCTGCCACACCCTGGTACAGATGTAGATCTGATCTTGTAATAAAGATGGCCCAGACAGTGTCTTGATGGTGTAACACTTGCCACGCTTCCCCTGCCGCCACACCCTGGTACAGATCTAGATGGGTCTTGCCTGTTTCTTGTTTCTTGTTTCTTGGTCTTGTTATAAAGATGGTCCAGACAGTGTCTTGATGGTGTAACATTTGCCACGCTTCCCCTCCCAACACACCGTGGTACAGATCTAGATGGGTCTTTCTTGTTTCTTGGTCTTGTTATAAAGATGGTCCAGACAGTGTCTTGATGGTGTAACTCTTGCCACGCTTCCCCTCCAGACACAACGTGGTACAGATCTAGATGGGTCTTGTAAGTTTCTTGATCTTGTAATAAAGATGGACCAGACAGTGTCTTGATAGTGTAACACTTGCCATTCTTCCCCTCCTGCCACACCCTGGTACAGACCTAGATGAGTCTTGTAAGTTTCTTGATCTTGTAATAAAGATGGACCAGACAGTGTCTTGATGGTGTAACACTTGCTACACTTTCCCTCCTGCCACACCCTGGTACAGACCTAGATGAGTCTTGTAAGTTTCTTGGTCTTGTTATAAAGATGGTCCACACAGTGTCTTGATTGTGTAACACTTGCTACACTTTCCCTCCTGCCACACCCTGGTACAGACCTAGATGAGTCTTGTAAGTTTCTTGGTCTTGTTATAAAGATGGTCAAGACAGTGTCTTGATTGTGTAACACTTTCCACGCTTCCCCTCCAGACACACCGTGGTACAGATCTAGATGGGTCTTGTAAGTTTCTTGTTTCTTGGTCTTGTTATAAAGATGGCCCAGACAGTGTCTTGATGGTGTAACACTTGCCACGCTTCCCCTTCCACACCCTGGTACAGATCTAGATGGGTCTTGCTTGTTTCTTGGTCTGGTTATAAAGATGGTCCAGACAGTGTCTTGATGGTGTAACACTTTCCACGCTTCCCCTGCTGCCACAACGTGGTACAGATCTAGATGGGTCTTGTAAGTTTCTTGATCTTGTAATAAAGATGGACCAGACAGTGTCTTGATAGTGTAACACTTGCCATTCTTCCCCTCCTGCCACACCCTGGTACAGACCTAGATGAGTCTTGTAAGTTTCTTGGTCTTGTAATAAAGATGGACCAGACAGTGTCTTGATGGTGTAACACTTGCTACACTTTCCCTCCTGCCACACCCTGGTACAGACCTAGATGAGTCGTGTAAGTTTCTTGGTCTTGTTATAAAGATTGTCCACACAGTGTCTTGATTGTGTAACACTTGCTACACTTTCCCTCCTGCCACACCCTGGTACAGACCTAGATGAGTCTTGTAAGTTTCTTGGTCTTGTTATAAAGATGGTCAAGACATTGTCTTGATTGTGTAACACTTTCCACGCTTCCCCTCCAGACACACCGTGGTACAGATCTAGATGGGTCTTGTAAGTTTCTTGTTTCTT